TCTATAAGAAGTAGGTATAGATACTGATATATCTAGATCATATTACTTTTTCTTCAATATACCAAGAATCAAATCGCCAACCTGGACTCTCGCCTCAACTTCTGTTCAAGCCTTTCTTTAAGATAATGCTATTATAGGTGAGAAAGAAAGAGGCCTTGGGAAGTCATAAACTTTATTGATCTGTTATAGGTTGACGTCTCACTAATCTCACCTGCTGCAACCGTGCGCGAGTTGTTCATCAATTAAAAAGTGAACATTAAGCCAACTTGCCCTCAGTACGCACCAACTTGGACCAGATTTTCATAGCTCCGCCTAACAACTTTACCTCTAGGCGACCTTGTGATATGCGTCCTCGACTTCTGGTTCGTAAATATATACGTTCTATGTTCTATGCTTCGTACTGGTAGAGAGATGAGTTGCTTGTAGAACTATTTGGAACCATGTCTGTTTTCCTCGAGCCGCTATTTAAGCCGTTATCATCCTTCTATCGCCATTGCATGACAAATTACATTTGAGAGATTTGTGAATATGCTGTCTTCTATGATTGCCAAATCAACGGGAACCGTACCAAACACGCTGCCGGAAATATTTCATCGAACAAAAAATAAGCTTCCCTGCCAAATTCCCGTACAGGGCATCGGATATACCGCTTGACCATCTGCTATGTAGAAGTGTCATGAGGGCCCGACTCAAGTATTCTAGGCGGCTCAAGATCTTAGCATGGAACAGATGTCTATTATTTCATTGTGTAGACGCCGGATACTGAGCGAGAGATTTTAAAGTCGCCTCCGATTATTGAATGGAATGATTATAATGCCTGTTGAGATAGTTGCGCAAAGCAAAGTAAAGAATTTGATAGGAACCGATTTCCTAAATATATGAAACAAATTTGTGGATCGGAACGCGACGCCCAGAAGCCTTTAGGATGTTCGAGGGCGAGATATGACCATTGCGGTGCCGTAATGTAAAGGCATTCTGAGGTAAGCTTTGAAGACTCTATTCAAAAACAGCCCAACACGCGGCGAGGAACTTAGCACCACCGTTATAGTCCGAATCATGCCTCTGGTCCAAAGCCACTCGGTTCAGATAAACTCGATTGCCGGGTTGAACTTTTTCGCCAAAGATATATTTCTCCTCTGAATAGTCGGTGGATACCGCTGTTAGTCTCATCGTATAGACTTCGCTGATACCCAGCAGATATCTTACTAGTATTCCGATCTGGCCTTGCGTTTATATTGCAATAATTCAACTCATGGCTGAAGCACGGTAAGCGTGAGTAGGAACACAAATTCGCTGATTAGGGAAGTTCTATGAATACCTTGTTTCTTAGAATTTAATAATCACCGGGGTTTTCGAAAGTCAGGAAAAGAGTTGCTTAAAAAAACACCAAGACTTCTATTAAATGAGACATATTAATTGAGATCCCAAGTCTCACTTAATTACCCTTTCATTAAATATCTAAATCTATCACTGCTAAATGCTTTCTATATGCATTACTCTCTCTATTCTCTTCTTTGATCAAAGCATATCCCATAATACTTGTAAGCTCTAAAGGATTATGTTTTAGTGATGCTTGGACCGGTTGCAAATAAGCTGGCACCATCAAACAAGATATCCTTGTCTATTCGTGCCAGAACATTTACACCTCTGGACTTCGCACACGACCCTGGCTGGCGCCGCTAGGGTTGGTTTCAGATCCCTGAATGAGTATTAGTAGATATTCTACGATATTTGGTTTCTTTATAATGCTTACCTAGAGCTTTGGCAATCTCTTCGGCGACTCCTTTAGCTGAAGCTGGGTTCTGGCCGGTGATGAGCCGATCATCCACCACGATATGCTCACCCCAAGGCTCTTTGGCCCTCTCGTAGTTGCCGAACCTCTGTTTCAGCGCATCCTCCAACAGAAAAGGCATAGCAGTCGTCAGGTTCATTAGCTCCTCCTCCACATTGGAGAAGCCCGTGACCTTTCGACCAGTGAGAAGCGGCTGAGCACCGACAAAGGCGTTGGAGAAGACTGCCGGGCCATGGCAAACGGCGGCCACAACCTTTCCGGCAGCATAGAATTCCTCGATCAGCTGAGTGGCATCCTTGTTCACGGTGAGATCAAACATTGGCCCGTGGCCGCCGGGGAAGAAGATGGCATCAAACTCTGAGGTGTGGCCCATGAAGTCTTTGAGCGCCGTTGTATTTTCCCAGATATATTTCTCGTTTTCATAGAAATTACGAGAGACATCATCGCTCCAGAAAGATTCAACAGACTCGGGGTCAACAGGCGATACTCCTCCATTTGGAGACGCAATCACGAGCTCAGCCTTCTCGTGAAGGACGTCGTAAGGGTGTGCTAGTTCGGGCTATGAAATGATTAATGGATGCTTTAAGGTAGGGTAGTGGGATTCTCTTACTAGATACCAGCCGGTGTGACGCTGAACGCTTTGGATATATCCAAAGCTAGTTAAAACAACGAGGATTCTTGGAGACACCATTATTGCTGCTTGCTGTTAGTTTTCGTTGTCTTGAAACGTTTGTTGGTAGTTGGTAGGCGTTGTATTTGATGTTCTCGTACAGTTCTATCTTGAATAGGATTGATATGAATAGGAATATGACGATCACAAGGACTTTAAGCGTTCAATTTATATTTTGAAGTCATATTCGTGTTATCTAGTATTGAAGATCGTTGACTCCGTTACTCCGTTACTCCGCCCTGTCCGAGAGAGCTCAGTCCGCAACTCCGGCGTATCCGTGGACCGTGAGCCAAATGATGGGACTGGCAAGTCTGATAAATCCTGGTCTCCCGATGAGCCAGCATCCATTATTAGGCTAGCTTCGACTGGGATCGCGGGTTTTGGACACACACGGAACCAAATCGCAGAAAGAGGATCTCTCGCGCGGCCGAATTGGTTTTGTCAGCTACGTGCGGCCGCATGAAAATTAATAAGTTGAAGAGCAATTGCTTCAACATGTCTAAAACCTAGCGAAGGGGAACTGGGATCATGGGTATAGTGGTCTAATAATAATGCGATGATATTGATCTTATTAACCCTCAAAGTAGGCGGCTATAGCTACTTTGGAGATGTTCCATTACTAGATGAATCAATTTAGGCCTTTGGATCGAAGAATGGCCGTTCCGCCTGGGGTGTGATTCTCAACATATGTCGGCGTGTTTGGCCTTCTCTGACTTGAAAGTCTCGAAGGGCGGAGCTACACAACAGAGGTCAGCATGGCGAAAAGTAGAGAAGGCGAGCTATCACTGACTGTTGAGTAATGCGGTTATCATAGACCACGACAGTTCCAGGCGTCCAATGCACGCGAATATGCCAATCCTGCCCGTGCTCAATGTGGTTGTAGAGAAAGTTAAGGATATTAGCTGGTCGAGGTCAGTGTCTGTCGTCAGGGCTGAAGGCGGGTATCCGCGCTTACTACTTTCTTCCTCCTTAAGACCCTGGATTCTCCTGGTGTATAGTCTGTTGACATACAAAGACTTTGACTTTGTCACCTAGTACAAGTTTCTCGTGTAAGTCGGTGACTCCTGTTTCAAGAAGGGCCCATGGCACTTACGGGATGGGTGCGGACAACGGGATGGATTGTCTCAATCGGCTCGCGAATATACCGCTCCTTGTGGTCAGCCACTCTGGCCTGATCGAAGCCCGAGTGAGTGGCTTCCAGGCCATGGAGTTTCTCTCGGTACAAGGGCGACAACGCATTATAGGCGGCGACGGTGGAGAGGTACAAGGTGTCGCCACCGGCTTTGGGTGTGTCAAGAGCCAGAAAGGTGGTCGTTCCCATACCATTACTATAGTCGAATTGTCAATAAGAGCACCTCCATGCTTGACTCTTACTTACATCTCATATGACATGTCGGTATGCCACTTGATGCTGCTGACATTGTTCTTGATTTCGTTGTCGACAGCGCCAGCCCTGATACACCACTATATCAGCAGATGAATCGTCCTGGTTGCAAACACGTCAGTGGCTTACTTGAAGTCTCTATAAACGGGCAACAGCTCGGGGTGGTTCTTGACATGGCCTCCGTGCTGGTGGACATGGAGCTTTCCGAAATGAGCGCCGAACTCAACCTGCTTGTCGAAGCCGATGTCGGCAAAGTCCTGGCCGCGGAAGACAACAACACCTCTCTCAGCAACCAGGAGGGCGAGTTCGTCACGCTGTTTCGAGTTGAGGGCACTCAACTGTAGCCCGTGGACCTCGGTCCCAATGGCAGGCGTAATTTCATCAAAAGATGAGCCGGGGGCAGTCAAAAGCGCAGTCTTGGCAGGGTCGGCGCGAAGACCGACATCGACATGCTCAAACTCTTTCAACGGAGGCTGCAGTCCAGGATTATAGTGCGGCAGATAGTGCGAATATTTGTACTAGTAGGAAAAGTAAGTATCGTGCTGCGAGCCCCGTATGAAGAGCAGAAGCGGCTCACGGCATCTTGGCTGTAATCAATAGATGTCTCAAATTTCAGCTGGGACCCAGCCTCCTGTCCCCCAGACGGAACGGTGATAGTGGTGGTGGTAGTTTGGGTCGACATGATGGCTGCTGACAAGGAGGAGATGGTGCGACTTGAAGTGGCTGTTGTCGAACAGAGTCTCGAATGCCATTCGAGGATTACATGCCCGCTTTTATCAACACCATCCTTTCCACGCCCGTTTGCGATCGCGGCCCTGCTTCGTAATCTAGCGCAGGGACTGGACGATGGCGAGCGAGCTATGCCGCCTGGACCCCGCGAAAGAGATGACGACATCAGCGTACCATTTGATGTTACCATCGCGGCTATAATTTGGCTATAGCGATTCATCCTGATTTGGGCATCTTTGCGGATAATCGGCCTACACCCGCAACAGTCGTCATCCGAGCACGGGATGGCGTGGGTCCTTGAGCGGGATGTAGTCGCAGCGAGCTCGGGATGCACATATAAGGTACCTAGCCAAGGCTGTAGGTCATTCACAATGTAATGTACAACCGCAACGGAAATTTCTTGCATTGCATTCACGGTGGGAAGAATGGCCGATACTAAGAGCCCAGCTCGGGTCGACATTACAGATGCCTCGCCGTCGTCTGATGGCGGTTTGGACCACGAACTCACCAACCCCCCGGAGAACCCATCCCGCAAGAGGTCGACGTGGAGGCGATTAGTCGGATACTTTTGGGACTCTGTCGACGGAGATCCTAGGGACAGGCGATACATTCAGAAACTCGACACCTTTCTCTTGTAAGTCATTGCAGTGAGGGAGGTCGGGAGTGATACTGATCTTGACCACCTTAGCTCATCTATCTGCTTGGGCTACTTCGTCAAGTATCTCGACCAGACTAACATCAGTACGTAATACCCTTCCTGTCCCTAGGGGGTCTCTCAAGGTTCCGTGCTAATTCACTCCAGGTAATGCCTTTGTCAGTGGTATGAAGGAAGATGTATGTCAGCAAGAGCCTACACTGAGACGACCACCACTAACTCTCACCAGCTTGGCCTTTATGGAAATGAACGAAACTGGTTGAACAGCTACTTCAACATCGGTTATCTGATTGGAACCGTGCCGACGCAGATGGTACAACTCCGATACGTCCGACCGTCGATCTGGATTCCTCTGTGCGAGGTCCTTTGGTCGATCATGGTCATGGCCATGGCGGGTGCGAAAAATGTTGAAACTGTAAGCTTGGATACGTCTACTCCATGTTGGCAGAGAATCAAATGGTTGCTGACCGTCGCCGCAAGCTTTACGTCCTCCGCTTCTTCTGCGGCCTGTTTGAAGCTTGTGCCTTTCCTGGATACGCGGCATTACTCGGCGGCTGGTACGGCCCTCAGGAACTGACCAAGAGAGTAGCAATCTTCGAGCAAACTAGTGCTATCGCGTCCATGTTTAGTGGCTATCTGCAAGCTGCGCTCTATCAAGGCTTGAATGGGCACAATGGCTTAGCTGGCTGGAGGTGGCTCTTCATCTTCGATGGGTAAGTGTTTCGCCACGACTCGGTTGGTCTTATGGACCACGAGCTGATACTGGGTGATAATAGAATCATTTCGATCCCCATAGCAGTATGGGGTTTCTTCGCAATCCCCGATCTCCCGCATACCACACGCGCGTTCTACTGGAAGGGTGATGTGTGTTCTCCATTCTTGCTACGCTCTCGTCGGAGGGTACTGACGATTCTCATAGGACAAAGAATACGGAATCAAACGTGCAGAAAACCATGGACTGGTTGCTCCAAGGAAGCTGACACTAAGAGCCATCTCGGGGGTTTTCCTGAACTGGAGGTTATGGGTGTTCATTCTGCCGTATCTGTAAGTGGACACGTCTTCGCCCGTGAGGATCGATACTGAGCATCGGCTACAGGATGGTCGCCCAGTCGGGCAGCGGAACTGGGTACTTTAATCTATATCTCAAGGATGCTGGGTACAGCGTCGTGCAAACAAATGTCCTGCCAACGGCGGGCAGTGCCATCAGCGTCGTCGCGGCATTTCTCGCTGGCAGTATCGTCGACGCAACTGGAGCAAGATTCACAGTCTCCGTCATTATACAGCTTGCAGTCTTGGTATCCAACATCTTACTCGCGGTTTGGTCAATTCCTGAGGGAGCAAAGATGTTTGCCTACTTTTTATCCTATGTCGGGGCGGCCGCACAACCAATCATTATCGTAAGTATCGGCTGCTTCAAGTTGCGATGAGAAATTCGCTTCGCTGACCACCATTGTTTAGTCGTGGGGCCAGCATTTGACTGCCGGTGATCCCATTCTCCGACAGCTTCTTGTTGCCACTGGTAACATTTTTACCTACAGTTTTTCAACATGGATGCCACGTAAGTGATTGAATACTAGGCTTCAGCCGGAATCTAACTAACGTACCGCTCCAGTGGTTCTCTTCCCGACAAATGATGCCCCTCACTACAAGTACGGATACCAGATTTTGATCCTCTGGGGCGGTCTTGCAATCACAGGAGCATACTTGATGAGAGTCCTTAGCAAGCAATTTAGGTGCGTCGCTATTTAGATATCGGATCGTTGCAATCGCAAAACTAACAGATGTAGCGGGAAAACAAGGAACATCGAGGGCTGAACATGGTAATATCAGGCTGTGTCGGGTTAATGGCAGTGATCGCAAAGACCGATGACGAGCTGGAGTCCTCCTAAGATTGGCTAAATGTCGAATACTGCCGGAACGCATGGCGGTATGATAGGAGGAGAGTGTAGATATATACCTACCTAAATGAATCCCACCTAGCTAGGAGAGAGGAATGGCTTCTGGGTCATCTCATGGCGATTACTTTCTCAAGAGGTCGATAATACCCTCCTTCTTCGCCTCAGTAGATAAATCCAGACTAAACCTTCCTTTGTTGCCCTCGGCCAGCGGATCCCTCGGCAGCCCGCTCGTCACTATATAAGTGCAGTCTCGCCTGTCTTCCCGTTCCTAGCCGGACCCAAAACGCGTCCCTGAAGCGTATAATGAAGCAGCCTTGCCCTCCACCAAACGACTCCGACAAGCGAGAGTTTCTCATGGTAGTCAGGGCCGGTATACCTCTCTGTCGCCAGGCCCAAGTAAAATCGGGATGAGGGATTAGCACAAAGGCAAACCATCCAGGCATCACGGTCTCATCAATCGTTTTGGGGTCCATCTCGCCGCACCCGACCAGCCAGGCGCGCAACGCAAGGCACTGTGCCGCGTGACCAGGCTCGGTGGGCCTGCCGAACTCTCTGCACTGTCTCTGATCCCCGGGTCGGAGCTGCGTGTCAAAGCACTGTGTTGGAATTTGATGTGCAGGTGATTGCCTGATAACCGGGCCTGTCGCGGCGGCCGTGGTCTGAGCCGGATAACCTCCAAGGTCGATGGGCCGAGAAACAACGGCGGGACGAAGGACATGAAGGGAGCATTCGAATGGCGTATATCTAGGCTGGTGGAGAGATGAGGGGGTCGGATTTGGGGATTGGAGGTAGAGCGTAATCATATGTGGTAGGGGAGGGTTTGAGAGGATGGAAAGAATGTGATCAATTGGTATACGGGTATTGCTAAGCATGATACGCTTTTCAGAGACGGTGAGTAAGAATGGCCGAGGAAGAACGTGTGCCGATAGATCAATAGCAAGAGTGGCCTGCCCTCGGTATCGCGCATCGCCAAGTTCAGCTTGTCAGCGTATTGGGGTTCAAATAACACATCCGGCAACTCCCTGTCAAGTCCACGTCGGGCTAAAGCCACGTGCAAGAAGAGCTGCGGTTTCTAGGGACCTTACACACGATAGTCATGTACGAACCAGCTCCGTTGAAGAGCAAGCAATGGATTATGGAGATGCGCTTCCTGCGATGGTCTGGGTCATCGAAACCTTTATTCCTTGCCCACTTGGTGCTAACGAACACACCGACGAGCGGATGAGCAACGTTCATTGGGCATATTGTGTTTCTTCAGGGGTACTTTTTTAGATCCAGCATCGCATTTACATCGGCACCGTAGCTGATAACATGCTTCATCAGCTCGACATCCATGGCATCAGCCACCTTATGGACAAGCCCTTGGCGTAGTGTTTCCAAGGGAGCCCCAACTTGGACGAACATGCCAGCAACGGCAGAGTCGTTCACGAGATCCGGACATCTCGTGCCCGTTGAAGTTGCCAAGTTTGGATCAGCTTTTAGCCCCAAAAGCAGCTTGACGAAATCTCTTCTTTATCGCCTACCGACTTGGGGATTACATGCAAGAAGAAGAGGTGTGTACCCATTATGATTACGTGTGTTGGTATCAGCTCCTTTGCTCATAAGGTATCGGTTAGCTAATAAATGCCAGTAGTATTGCTCCCTGGCTAAAGATCCAAGAACTGTCAGAGCACCCATATCAGGACGATGCTTGGTAAAGTACTGAGGTAGAATCTCGCAGGTATTGCAGTCGATGCCAGTTTGGGCGACATCGTTATTAGTTGATCATTTGAGATGATCGCTCGAGTCTGGTGTTATTCCGGCCTCGCCTGATATTGCCGAGGGGTAAAGGCCTTGGGAGACAAACATGTAGACTGACCTTCTTCCCTCTTTAGGAAATAGAACCGAAGTCCCTTCTGATACCGGGTCGCTGTATAAAGCCTAGCTCCGGCATCTATGTCGATGCTTGATCCTGGAGTATTCGGTGATTCACCAATCACTGTAGGCATAGACGGAACAGCTGACAAGGGTAGATACTCCGCTTTAATAAATCAATTTCATAATTCCCCTGTTTACGGCATTGGTAGATCGAGGTACTGCACTGATGATACATTTTAGGTCTTAACGTGACACACTAGAACTGCATGAGGAATGTATGTACTATTCATAGTACAATAATACATACTTTCGATTACGAGCACTATAAATACCCATGGTACCTATTAGGGGGTTCCTCGACGAACCCTTTATCCACAAACTGGACTTATTGAACTCTTTCCTCATTCGTACTCATTTATTATATTTAGCCCAAAAGTGGTTCCACATGTACGGGTGATAGGAGGGATGCCGTAGTAATACTACTGTTACGTGTCGAGCTTTTACGGTAGGTAGTATGCGGTATTTTTCAATTACTGCCGCGGTGATAAAAAAAGACTACAATAACAAAGGAGTGTTCATAGTTTGGCCTTTAAATAAGACGTCAGTCCAAGTGATATCTAATCCCTTTCTGCCAGTATTCTTTCTTCTCTCCTGATATAACCACTAACGATACCAACACCGATTTTCCTTCATGTACCCCAGAAGATAAGCTGGTTTTATATTTTCCCGTACTTTTTTATCTCCAGTTTGTCCGCGAGATTCATTATGGTGGCTCCAAAACAAGCTTCCGTTTTCACTATTCCCCTCTTGCTAGCTGCTTCTAGTACAGTTGCTGGTTTGCAGAGTTCACATGGCATCGTATCCAGATCCGAGCCTGGCAACAACGAGATCGTTAACCTCGCATTGCGCCTCGACAACGAAGAGCAGATCTCCATCGAAGCTCGGGAAGCATCACTCACTCTAGACGCGCGAGCAAAGCTACAGAAGCAGCCCCCCAAGCCGAAAGCTGAAAAGGCGAAGACTGCCCAGCAGAAGCCTGCAAAGCTGCAGAAAAAGCCTCCGCAGAACAATAAGCCAAAGATCGACATATCAAAGATTTCCAGCCCGAAGCTGATTAGTAGCTCAAATCCAGGAGTAACGAATTTCAAGTCCGCAACTCAATACCATGTACCTTCATACAAAGGACCAAATGGTAAAACAGTATCGGACCCAAAGGGATGGAAAGTCTCAAAGCGATCACGGCTTCAGAGGCGAGCAAAACTACAGAAGCAGCCCCCCAAGCCTAAGGCTGAAAAACCGAAGCCTGCACCGAAACCTGCTAAATCGAAACCTGCAAAGCTGCAGAAAAAGCCTCCGCAGAATAACAAGCCAAAGATCGACATATCAAAAATTTCCAGCCCGAAGCTGATTAGTAGCACCCACCCGGCAGTGACTCAAATCAAGTCTGCAACCCAATATCATGTGCCTTCGTATAAAGGGCCAAATGGTAAAACCGTCTCAGATCCAAAGGGGTGGAAGGTTTCAAAGCGGTCAATGTTGCGGAGGCTATCCAAGCGACGGAAGTAGGACTCAAGGGATATAAGGTCTTGAGACATGGAATGAAACACCGAAGGTAGAATGATCATAGTATTGTAGCAAGTCAGAATTTATTTCTATTTTATTTTGCCCTCTTTATCTCTTGAGTATGGAATCTGGTTGGTTGCATAAGCCTCTTTGTTTCTTCGCCAACTAGGCCAGGCTTAGTGCAATGCATTCTTGACAACACCGAGGTGGACGCCAATGTTGTCGCTCTGGAGCGCTTGCTTTGGCACGTGCTCGTTGGGTCTTGGTACGACGGAAACAGTGACATCTGCGAAGACACACCCAACTCGTTGATACCGGCATCGATCTTGAGGCTGGGGATAGCGCTGGCGACACATCGCTGTTTTGTTTATTTCCAAAAGAATATACCCAGGCCAATATCGAGCGCCTCCTGCGGTTCCTGCTCGGAAAGGGTGCCGATGCATCTGCTCGCGAGGCCGAAGGGAGCAGCCTGCTGCACGCAGTCTTGGTTTACCACAGAAGCCTCGGGATCGTGCAGATACTTGTTGACCACGGTGTGGACGCGAATGCCCGGGCCCCTATCCAACGGATGCATGGCCGGGAAAGCAACCACTCTGCTCGCGGCCGGTGCTGACGCTTCGGCAGTAGACTACGAGGGGAGTGAAATACTACACGTATATGTAGGAGCCGTCGTTGGATCGGAAAAGGTTGGCTCCTGAAGTTGCAATTCCGAGGTCTCTGATCGACCTTGGCTTCGATCCCGGCGGCGTGAACGAGTGTGGCGATAGGCTGCTACACATGACCGAGCCTCCACAAGAACCCGAACCACATGATGGGAAACCGCCGTGGCTAATCGCCCTGATCGCTGCATTAACTGACTACGGGATCTCACTAAACAGCAGGAACTCCGCTGGCATGACTATATCTCACACATTCGTGCGAAGCCTAAGCGCAGGTCTTGAGCGGATCCTATCACTGCCTACGTCGTCAAAAAGGCTGAATCGTCTTCTGGCAGTTCTTCGAAGGATCCGTGGCTGACGTGGATATTGATGGCCTCCCCTCTCTACTACGCGGCGATGAGCATATCGCCTAGCTCGGTCCAATAGGTGGACATGTTATTCTCGGTAGGTTCCAGCATTACTGCTACTGACAACCTTAAGGCTGGACGGACGGCCTTCTCAATGCGCTAGATTCCCTAGGCCACCCGCCACTCTTCTACACGTGTTCGTTCAGCCTAGCAGAGGCCGTTGGCATCCTTGTCGACGCTATAATAATCTTGGCTGCTTTCACGCCTGTGCCGACTTGATGTAAGATCACATCAGCCTCGATAGCATAAGGTCGAGCTGGCCGACTTAGGGGAGGGCAACAAGCCAAGCCGCCAGCTGCACACCGATCCCTCTGGGCCATTTTACATCGAGTTTACTGAGAATAAAAGGTACCAACCAGATGGAAGCCTTCCGAAACCCCTATTTGACCACCGTGCGTTCCGTGCCACAGAGGCTCATGCCAGCTGGCGCCTTGCCGGACGACACGGTATACGATGGTACTCATAACTCGAGATACATCGGCTGCTTCGACGCAGAGCACTGCAAGCTCACGCTATCTAGCACCCGGGATGATCTGATTAAAAACAGCTTCTTCTGTCGACGAATCTAACCGCTCGTGTATTTGGCGTGCGCGAGGCGCCACCCCAACCTCCCGATGCTGAAGCTTCTCATGGAGCATTTGAACCTCTTGGAGCCTTTTGAATGGAGATTTCAAGTCATTGATTGAGCCATTTTTGTGAACCACGGAGACTTGAAGCAGTGTGTACTACAAGTAAGCAGAAGGGCGATATCTATAGATGCCTAGGCGAGGAGAGCTTTCAAAGCCGTGTTGCTTTGCGACTTATTTATAACCTCTCCGCTCGCATCGAGTTTAGTTGCGGCAGTCAAATCAAAGGCTGCCAGCGCACCGAGCCGAGCTTCTTGGAAAAATAGTATCTAGTTGGCATCTCATAATTTGATAGATCGGCCCTTCCGGCGGTCCTGCCCTGTATTGTTTGACAGATAGTTATAGGGCCTCGGCAATACAGATACAATGCGAAAATTATTAATTTACTAGACGTTATTCTGACCTGGAATATATTCATTGAGAAGAAATAATAACGTGTTAAGAATGTCCTACTTGCAACGGAGCGCATCGGACTAATAACATCAATAATAATATCAAAGGCCTGCCCAGCTTTCGTCTATGGGAATCCAAGTGATCTACTAAGATCTCTTACTATTAGGTGACCGAGAAGAGCATGGAGGACAGGGCCCCGGATTTGTGACTTTCCTTGATATTGCCAGTTTTCAAGATCTATCTATATACGCACTTATCGGATTGATGTCTGATGCTGTGCTTAGTAGTCTACAGTAGGTTACAGCCTCTCCGCGCGCGATTTCTACAGCGAGAGCTCTCATACAAGCTGACGGCAACATGGAACCTATCTGCGAAGGTCAGACCTGGGGGCCTCCCAAGGCTCTGTTACGGATGGCTGGCTGGCTGTGGAAAGCCCGGCTTGGACCATCACATGAGAATTTGAGTGGGGCGTCTTGACAAATTGATATATTTAACCCCTGCCAAGTCTCGACCGTTACTACGTTATTCTGCCACACCATTCGGGATCGGTAAACTGGCTAGTAGCCCAGCTGGCGCAACTACTAATGCTTGTTGGAGCTCGATGAAGCGGACCCAGCCGGCAGAGTGACCTCATAATCAGGCAAGGTTGAGTTAGGTATTTACACAAGAACGATAAGGTCTAGAGATATCCGTGGCGCTGTTAGGTTTCTATAGAGGGCTAGTCTCTTCTTGAATAAGAGACTTTTAGGCCTTGAGTGTAGCTGTAGACGAGACAGTCATGAGGAAATCAGGCCATGTGTCCTCCCCTTAGACAATCAGACAACAATAGCAATTGTGGTGGGTGGGAATGAAAAACTTGACGGATCACGGCGGACCCCTAGGCCGATCCTGGGAGCTACTATATAGGTATCCAGATTTGATCGCGATATTGCCGCAAAGCTCCTCTTGGCTCGGATGCTTCAGTGCCTATCGGGAATTATATCACTCAGGACGCATTGACGATATCCGTCCTATACAGGAAACTATGGAGGGTGAAAGATCGGCCAGGGCGAGGAGAAGATCAGATGGACTCCCCAGGACAATTCTTCACCCGGCTCTACATCGCCGTGCCGTGAGCGTGGAGCACAAACCACGGGTCAGATTTGACCCCTCGCTGGAACGTGTCAGAACCTTTTACAAAGATGAGAGTCCCTCCCAGCTTACATGCGGGCTTGCGGAGGCAACTGATTGCATCCACATCCGAGGAAGAGGCAGTACACCGTCGAGCTCGTTCGGTTCTCCCGTAGAGGGTAGACAGACTACTTCAACACGTCGCGAGCAAACTCTATTCTTAAGAAGTGACTCAGCGACGAAAAACGTCTATCTTGAGAAACTTATCATGGCGCAAGATCGGAATCTTCGCGGTTTCGTTCTTGTGAGGAACCTAGCCTACGTGAAATCGGTCCTGTGCCGGTTCACCCTTGATGGATGGGCCACCTTCTCAGATGTCTGCGCAAACTATTCGCCCCGAGTTGCACATGCCGGAGAGCCCGAGGGATATGACAGGTTCGAGTTTTCAATCAACCTGTTGAGCCCATTAGCCTTGGGGCAGAAAGAATCATTCTGTGTCTTTGTTTCGCTTGCAACAACCAATCGTACTGGGACAACAATGACGGCGCAAATTACAACATCCTCCTGGCTAAACAGACCTCGACAATTGAAGAAGGCCCTCTTTTGCTAGATCACCGCCCTCCAGAGCCGAGCCGAGCAAAACATGCCGAAAATATAGTCAGAACCCTGATAGATGATGTGCCTTTGAAGATGACTAAACCTCAAACGCCTGTAGCGAAGACACCTATCAGCTTCAAGCAGCAACTCCAGGCAAAACAATTACCGACCTCGACAAGATACAGGGCTGATGATAGGCCCCCTGTTTCGGAGAACAATTTTCTATTCTCGGGTTGGAATGAAATTTCATGTGGAGAATAACCACCAGTTATCCGTGGAAGATTGTATATACTGGTGATAGAAGGTGAACTGAAGACTGGGATTATTTTCTAGTATATATTAGCCTCATCTTATACATTAAGTTATCAGTTAAGGTATATTAGAGAATTCTTTATCTAATAGTTATAACTAACTAATAAGTTCTACCTTATATAAATCTTTACTCTAAGTTTAGAATAGAGATTTTATTAAGCTAGCTTAGGTATTTTATCTCTCTATTCAGAGTATAGCTCTAGTAGGTATTAAATAATAAAAAGTATATATTAATAGAATATATAAGATTTAAACTAGAATAAAATATTAAAATATTTTTATCTAAAAGGTTTTACTTTTCCATAAATAGATTTTAGTTCTAGCTTATAATAGATTAAAATAACTAAGTCTTTTTAAAATAATAACTATATTTAATATATTTAATTAGAGATCTTTAGTTAACCCAGTTAAGTTTATATTTATAACAAAATAAAACTAATATTTTAAATAAGGAAAATATATTTAAGATACTATATATTACTAATATTAATACTAGTAGATATATAAAGAAAACTAATACCTCAGAAATATTTAAGTACAGTAAGCTACCAGAGTTATATAAAGCATAGTAATTGTTCAAGTCGAGGTCCATTGCTTCTTTCGATATTTATCAAGTTTCTTATGAGAAGTCGGGGGGGTTACCAGAGAGATAAGGTAGTTTTCACCCGTCTGTGTCACAGCGTGAATAAGTACGTCCTCGCCAAATGGCCAGTCTGCCTTTGGTTCCAAGTTTTTCTTGATCTCAAACTGGGCATAGTCAGACTTGAGGTCCGTAGATTCGCCTAGTAAGCACCACGTTGCAGCTTCGATAGCATCGTTCCTCTTGAGGTAGGCGCCCTGAATTTCGGAGGAGACAGCACGGTCGGCATTGTACTTGATTTGTGTCTGAACGATGAAGTGGAGATGGTCAGTACCACGTGGGAGATACAGTGACCCGTCCGATACTGATGCTGGCAGATCCTCGATGTTCAACTTTGTGTCGATTCGAACAAGGAACTCTTGACCAGCCGGGGCTTTAGCATAGACGATGGTTCCGTTACCATGATCCCACTCCTCGGCGTCATGTGGTCGTGTCTGATAGATAGCAAAATCTTCCTCCTTATAGCCCAGCGTCGCAAGAGCTTCCAGAGCAAATTGTTTGGCACTCTCTAGTGTCCCATGGCTGCCCAGGACATAGAGTCTGGGGATGTCCGCCAGGGTTTGGATATGATGCTCATTAATAGTCAGACAAGTATGGTAGAGGAACTCAGGGATAAACGCATTATCAGAAGTGTTTCCGGGTGCCATTGTGTCGTAGTTGGATGTTTAGTTAAAAAGTGGAATAATGAAGCAGTGATGAACGATCTTGTGGTTCGCATTGGGACGCTCTAATCATAGCTTTGATGGTCGTCTTTCATGCACTTGAACGCCTCCTTTTATGCCTGAGATAGATGTGGCGTTACACATAATACACGCCACCCAACGCTCATGCTCACCCAATGAACGGGAGTTATGTGAGTGTGGTCATTGTCGACACCCACGAGCGGTAGGTCATGAGACGATTGCTCTAACCGGTCATCCGGCGCTAATGAAAGGCGACGACACCCGATACTGTCGACCCGGAAAGTTTCATTTTGTCTCCCGAAATTCCTCACCTGACCAAGTATCATGCCACATTCCCCGAATGCTAATGCCGATGTGTGCTCCCCCCCATCTTAGACGGAGGAAACACGTCGTATGATCTTGTAACTATCTTGAGTAAGCGGACGCGTTGTGGCAAAAGCCTTCCCCCCTCAAAGGTCAAAGGTCCACTTAGGGGTTTATTATCCCGGTGCCAAACCCTCCCCACTATCTTCGGGAACCACCGCTTTGTATAGTGCGCAGGTGTAGTGCCTTCCGAGGCCTACGGAACGATGCAAATTGATGGATGATATGGCCGCACAGCAGCTGATGGAGGCTTCCGCTATTTCCCATATGCCTGGGGCATATAGCATGTTGTACCTGCCAACAGTTTTAGCAACAGTGAACCATGGGCGAACTGCATGTAACACCATTGTACAAGCTTAATATTATCCTTCTGTTGCTCATAAGTTCTTTCGGTGGCAACTACACCTGGCATGTTAATAACCTCGTCCTCAAAAGCGATATTAATAAGGTTGAAACAGAATCCGGTCTCATATGAAGTATAGCTTTACCTCCCTGGTTAATAAATTGAACAAGGCGGTTGTAGATATATAAAGACTAATGAAAGGGAAGCACTGAGCTATTAGTAGGTAGGGAGCAACGTTAGATCTTGCACGGGAGATAATACACGATCTTAGCGGCGAAAATCTGCTGCTCACGCAGGAAGTAGAGCGGTCTACGAAATTAGTCTCGGAGTATCGCCTGATCATAACACTACTAACACAGTAGTGTTAAAAGACTTGCATTCGTCTGAGACCTGGAGTTAGCTATATCAAGTTATTCTGATTTATCCCCCAGATTGTTCCGAAGATCAATCTTTTCTCAAGAAATATTATTTGAGTTAAGAACGCCTCTCGGAAGCTCTCAAGATCCTCGCGATTGTTCGGCTTTACAAGGTTGGTCTCGTCTATGGCATGGACATCAAAATCACCCCATCTAAAGTTTTGTGTTTGACACATAATGCGGAAGGAAACCACAGCGTAGAATATAACACACTATTATATTTACCAGCCCAACTTGCCCCCTTACGGATATCAGATGATTAATCCATTAACTAATCATTTCAATTATTATGAATCAAAATTCTACAGCCAAACCCGATAACAAACTCCGAGGAGATTATGGCTACAGCGAGTGCCAAGGACACTATGCTTTTACCAAGGTTTACACGCAATGCCCTAAAATGTCGAACTTGAAGCAGTATTATATTTACTAACATCAACCATTCCACTAGGTCCCTGTCAGCACCAGCAAACAAATATCGACACCCAGAGTCCTTGCTATTGGATGTGAAAATATAGAGGGTGTTGAAAATCAGTATAGCTGGGAGGATTACAAACACGTGTGCCACAGGCGGTGGATGTGCGAGATAGAAAAGGGCGGTAGAGAGGCAGGATTTAGTGAGGCGTCAGATACAAAGTCAAGTATCTGAGATACTTTACATACTTTGTGAGTGGATGAAGACACAAAACCTTCCACAATAGCTGGTGGCCTGATAATTAGAGGGTGGCCTGAGAGTGAGAGGGTGGTGCCCACCAAAGTTATATGGCTTTTGTCCGTTATTTACACTATCGGGTCTGGCCTCTTCTATTACTACTTTTTACTCTATAGCCAAACTCTCTCACAGTATTATCACATACCTTATCGACCGCTACTGTGCCCTCGAAGGCAATTCTATTAGGTAGTGTATATCGCTAAGAGATATGTACTGCCCAACATAATAACCTGTCCTTGGAGAAAAAAGTATAAAAAAAGCTGGTAAGCGATCTCCCGTTAACTGATCCTCTATCCCAAACTCTTCTACTCTAAGCTCTACTTCAACTAAAAAGAAAATCACCAATCAAATAATACTCAATATCAAAATGTCACTTTTCCCTCGCTCCTTCCACCTAGCGGAACCTCGCTATGGGGCCTTTTCGAGATTCCTTGACGACATTGCCCATTACTCTCATGGCCCTGGCAGTGGAGGGCTCTCTGAACATAAGGCAATCAATCCATTCCAACCCACCTTCGACGTTAGTGAGATGGAAGATGGCTACGAACTCCATGGGGAACTGCCTGGCTTGGACAAGAATGACATCAAGATCGAGTTTGTCGAGCCGCAAACCCTCATTATCCACGGCCAGGTTCAGAGGTCCTACACTATGGGTGAACCACCTGCAGACGTGGCCGAATCCATGTCACTTGGCAGTGGTGGATCTGAGACCAGCAGCCACAAGGGTAAGAAAGAGGGTCAGATAGACAAGGCGAAGGGATCCTCTCTCGCAGGCAAGAGGAAGGCTACAGTCTCTACCGAACCCAAGTTTTGGGTCGCTGAGCGGAGTGTTGGTCAGTTCTCGCGTACGTTTAGCTTTCCCCATCATTATTAAGCAGGACGGTGTGATTGCAAGCCTGGACAAGGGGATCCTGTATATAAAGATTCCTAAGTGTGAAAAGACCCAGGGTTATCAGATTATGATAGATTAGTTGATAGGGAAGCAGGAAAGAGTAAGAGAAAAATAATATTAGTTATTAAATCTGAAAATTAAAGAGAATCTTTAATTAACTACTATTAAGAGATTAATTTTATTTCTAGAAAATATAAAAGCTAGCTTTTAATTATAAACTTTTAGAATATAATTTAAATTTATTATATAACTAATTTAAAAAATATATTAAAAATTTAATTTCTATTTTTTTATTATAAATTATTTTAATTCTTTTTTTAAATAATAAATTATTATATTTTTTTATATTTTTTAAACTTTAATTAAATATAAAAGAAAAATATATTAAGTATATTTTAAAGGTTTAATTAGAGTTAATTTATATAAAATTATATTATTACTATAAGTTCAGCTATATTTTCTTCTTCTTCTTTTTACAGTTATAATAGTTGCTATTATATATAAGGTATAAATGCAATGGAGCCTATTAGCCTACAAAGAATAGAGCAGCAAGACTATGTCCAAGGTGAAAGGGTTGATGAGATTGGTTTTATCCCTGATGATACAACATCCGCGACCACCCAACGAGAGTCTGAGTTATATGCCCAAATTCAATTTCTAACAGTATATGCTCTTACTCCGTTGCGTCTGCATTCGGAAAAAAACTACGAACAATCCCCTCCTCAAGACTCAGCGCAACACGAGCTCCAAACTCGAAAGGGTTCCCCTCATATACCACAACATCCCCAGCCTCCGAGAGCTTCAGGGCCTTCTCGACGTTTGTAGTGACGAGATCAAGTGCTAAACTCTGGTTAGCGGGCCCTGCCAGCCACGAGGCCTCCCATATACTGCTTTGGATGTGATTATTCATTGTATCCCAGCTGCCTATGCCGACCGTCACACCAGCCTCGATTAGCACTTGGGGTCCTAAGGAATCAGTCAAGGGAGGTCCAGGAAGACAGTGGCGAGAGTCCCAAAAGAGCGGCTCACAACCCCAGAACGGAGCAACAATGACTGGGATATCAACTTCTGAGAGCTCGGTGGCAAGCAGGTGGGCCTCGGCGCCTCCCATTATCACTATGTGAGCACCCGTCTCGCGCTTCAAGGCAATCATATGTGCGATAACGTCTTTGTTGTTAGTATAAATAACGACGGGGATGCTGCCTTTAGCGGCTTGCTGGAAAGCTGGGTGAGGGGGTTCACTGGAGACTAAAAGGTCTCGCAGTGTCTGGATCTGTATTGAGACTGATGGAGTCGAGAGGCCTATCATTGAATTGCATTAGCATGAGTTTTAAAAGGCTGCAAAATTCATTTTACCTTTTGCTTCGTGTCCAATGGTGAAATGGAGGGCAACGTTGGGGTCCGAGACGGCCCCGTCATCAAGCACTTTGTATACGTCGGTTAACATTTTTTCACAGCACACTAGAACAAGGGGAAAAGAGGAAAAGAAAAAGAAAAAAAGTAGGGACCTAATAGAAATAGCTTACCACTTGTTGCCCCTGCCCTGAACCTTGCGCTGATACCGTGGAAGAAGCCAGTGGTGAGAGGAGGAGTAACTATGCGAGTGACGCCTGCGTGGTATGCACTCTGCAGATGGATTCCGCCTAGTGTGAGCCCAAACCTGGTTTCTGGAGGGTTGTGGAAATCATCCCCGGACGAGGAGCCGTCTGTGGTCGAGGGTTCCAAAGCCATCTCAGCCAGGCCGTGCTGTCGTGTAGCTATGGTAAGGCCCTGCAAGTAGAACGGAAGTCAGCGATAATACATACACCGAATCAAACCTATCAACGCGAAGAGCTTGATCTCACCGGAAGCATGAAAGCGTTCTGGATTTGCACCACAGCCGCTCCATCTGCAGCTGCCTTCTCTGCCATCTTGGCGCACTCTTCGTCTCCCACGCAGGCCACTCGCCCCTTTTGTATTATAGCAGTCATGTTATATCCTTGAAGCTTTTGACTTCGCTTATTACCGACACCAATGAAACTGCCACTAAGGCCAGTGATTACCACATTCTCTTGGCCCACGGGATTGTTGGTCGTCTTGTCCGTTTCGGACTCGGGCCTTGATGGGGGAGCATCTTTCAAATGTTCTCGTGATCGGTGCCAAACGTCGGAGGCGGCTCTTACCACGCTTTGACCCTCAATGAAGACTTGAAGAGGGCTGGCACCCACCCTTAGCGGGTGTCTGTCCCAAACCACAAGGTCTGCGTCGTAGCCTGGACGTACGAATCCTATTCTTGGTCATGTGTAAGCCGTTGCTCAAGGATCCCAATGACGTGCCACTTCTAAAGGAAAGGGGCTTACCTATTATCCAAGCCAATCAGATTAGCTGGGACCGACATCACTGACGAAAGCGCCAGTTCAGCGTCAACACCAAAGTGGTGAGCGATTTGGGCCTCGTATATAAGAAACTGTCCATGCAATGCCGGGTGATCACGCGTGAACGCAAGAGGAATTCCGTGGTCTGCTATTCTCTTCGGAAAGTAGAGGCTGACATTGTAGTTTTCCCATTTATCGCCCCACGAGTCGGTGAACCCAACTACCGCAATGTTTCTCCTTTTGACCTCATCGGCAACGGAATCCGCGTGCAAACCGTGATGCAGGGCTGTAATGTTGAACCCAAACTCATCAGAATGATCAAACATTGCGAGGATATCTTCAGTCTCATATCCATGAATGTTGACGCGTACGTCACCGCGAAGGACATCGACCAGGGTCTGCCACTCTAGCGAACGAGGGTATTCTATCGCAATTCTTGCTCGACCGGCCTTTGTCGTTGCCATCTCGCACCACATATCTTGGCTTTGCTTGACTCGCCTCGCGTTATCGTACGCCTTCCGATAGACATATGATTCACCGAGCCTCGACACTGGCCCGCCAGGGACATTCTGGAATTGCCTCTTCTGATTCTCGCCCATGGCCATTTTCAGATACCGCTGAGGCTTTCCACCAAACTCGGTGAGATTGACAAGGAGGTCGCTCACCGATTCTCCCCTCTTCATCTTGAGAACCGCACCTTCTCCAGATATAGAGTTTTTTGCGCCCGTCAAAACCAAGGACGTGGTGACCCCTCCACTGGCAACCACCGGAAATGCCTGGTCACTGGCCTTGATGGCGTCAACAGCTCGGCCCCAGGGCGTAGCAGGCGATGAACTCTCGGTCACATCCTCCGTTGCCCAAAGCTGAGGCGTCTCGCGGATTCCAATGTGGGAATGCATGTCAACCAGGCCTGGTGTAACAACTCGGCCGTGCAAGTCGATCTCGGTGGTATCGGATGAGTGGGTGATCGTCTCTGATGATGAGGCCACTGTACTGACACTGACGATGATCCCATCCTGTATCTCAATAATACAGCCGGGAGTAACTTGTCCATCTCCGTCAATCAGTGTCACATTTTTTAGGACAGTCCGCGGCCCAGATCGAGCCTTGGCAAGACGGGTCGCCGCTGAATCCCAGTTCACGACGGGTCTTACTTGGTTTGAAGCACACTGTTCCAGCCCATACTCCAGGTCCTCTGGTGGTAGCGCAAAATAACCTTGATGGGTTCTCTTCTCTGTTGATGCATTATGCCAGTTATGGCTAACGAGGAGGTAAGTCGTTAGAACGGCGACCATGCAACAAAGAAGAAAATTCTTCTCGATCATTCTCAACATCGACGCTGGCGCGCGAGGTTGCTTTTGCCAATTGGGTGATTGGCCGTCCAATAGATTGCTTTTCATCATGGCTAAATCTCGAACTCAGCCGTGTCAGGGGTGAAAGAATTCACCATAAACTACATAACGGTCGAGAGACAAATAATATCCTACGCTTTATCAGCATATACAACTGCTCTCGCTGCACATCATTTGCCGGAGGATAAATGCAAGCGACTCTCGAGATGTTGCTCGCTTGCCAGATGCCGTATTAGGAAAGCAACTACCGACGACCGATTCGTATGAGGGCCGACTTATCGGCCCCTGCAAAATCAATTGAGTTGAATCCTTATCATGGCGTTTCTACTAGCTCGACCCTGAGTCCACCATGGCTCCCTTCGAGTAATCTCTTTCGAGTAATCTCTTTCTCTTCTAGCCCTGAGCCTCAATGTGAACCCTTGGGTTAGGTACTTCAAACAAGACGAAAAATGAGCAAAGTCGGTTTTCACAATAAGTACGCAGCTACAACTAGATCCGTGTTACGATTGCAAGGACATGGAGCTGTCACGCTGGAGGCCATACATTGATTCCAGTTAACATTATTGCATTGTTTCATTCGTTCCCATATAATCCTCGAATTTGAGCTCTACTTTTGTTGAAGATGATGTTTAACTTTCATTCATAGATGTTTCTGGAAGTATTCTTCCAACCTGGAAATAAATCTCATGATGTGAGTGATAAAGAATACCTGAAACTAGGTATATTTAAATGCATTCAACTAAAATAAGGTACAGCTCATCCATATCCGAGCGAACCACGACTGATGAACACAAACAACTCCCATTATATTAAATACACCCATCTCATCTTTCATCTTTCATCCTGCTGATTATATTCGGCGGGCACCAGAGCCGAAATAAGCATGGGGACGCCGAGAGATGTGCCTACAACACATACCGGAACACATGCTTCTGCTCCTTATCCGTCAAGTCCAGGAACTCCTCACCCTCAGTGGCCGGAACAGTTTCAGTCAGAGCCAGGCGATCACGCCTCTTGTTCTCCCAAATCAAGTAATATCTGAGAACAATAGTGGCGACGATGCATAAAGCAAAGCATATGAAGGAAGCGCGGAAAGCAGTCTCGTATACAGGTGCTTCAGACGAGAGGAAAAGCTGCGGCGCAACGACTTGACCAACACAAAAGGCAATGTACATCATGGCGGAGGCAGTGGCTTTCTTTGTATAGCCTGCAAAATTGCTGGAAACCAGAGACATGGTCAGAGTGCCCACGATGCCGTGGGTCTGGACAATGTAGTATGAGCCAAGGAGCCCGCGCTGGTTGGACCTAGGCAAGGTATATAACAAGACAGCTCCAATAAGAGCGGGAATCTGACAACCTTTATTGTGCAGTTATGTTAGTATTGAAACCTCCTATTTCAATGCATGAAGGGGAAGTTGATGAAGCATTAACATACCAGCAATTAGCCATGTACGAATGTTCTTGAATCGGGAAGTCATCCAGCCTCCAAATAGAAGACAAATCGCCTGGATCACTCCCAAGGGGCAGAGAAGCAGTGTGGAATAGAGTGTGCTGTAACCGAAACCCTTGACAACAATGCTTCCAAACGACGCAACGCCACCAGCGGGGATATCGTCCAAGAAAAAGGTTGCAACCAGCAACCAGCAAGGAATGTCGGTGATGCATTCCTTGAATTGAGACCACTTCCAGACATTGGTATCTATACCGGTGCGATTGCTGCGGACGCGCTCAATAGCCATGGCACGATCCTCCTCCGAAAGCCAACGTGCATTCATAGGAGAGTCGGGCAGATAGTAGACAAGGAAGGACCCGTAGACTATGGTGATGGCGCCAAATATGATGAAGAACCAGGACCAGTTTGGCACGCTGGAGGAGTTGATGTGAGCAATGCCGTACCCAAGAAGACCTCCACAGACTTGGCCGATGGAGTTTCCAAGGTACCAACAGGTGATGCGCATGGGCTGCTCCTCTCGCTTCCACCACTGGGACGAAATGATGATAAAAGCTGGATTAATACAGGACTCGAGGCAGCCAAGGAGGGCACGGATCGTCATCAAAGCAGCAAAGGACCTAGAAGCAGGCAGGGTCATGAGCACTGCTCCCCACAGGATGGTCGCGCATGCTACAAAACGGCCAACCGGGAAGCGAACGACCAAGCGAGCAACGACAGGCTGGGAAACCATATACGCTAAAGGCAATATACGTCAGTCGCATGTCTATAGGCACAGATATGAGGCACACTATGGTTCTGGGCTGCTTACCTAGGTAGAATATGGAACCAGAGGCCCAACTGTACTGATTCCCGACGAGGTGCTGCGAAGGGTTATTAGTCAAGCCAATTGGTAATCCAACATTTCCATCCAAGGCAGATATAAGCGAGAACACAGCCGATAGCACTTACATTATCATCGATAAGTCCAAAGTTGGCTGAGTATGATAGCGCATTTTTATCCATGAAATTGAGCGTATACGTTATCACCATCTTTCACCACTATCAGCATCATCGTGAACAGGCTTGGGTCGTGCAGAATTTCAGCGTCTTACCAGTGGCAGGAGATGGAAGTCAATCTTGCGCAAAATGCGCCGGTCGTCCTCATCGCTGAGGGGACCGGCGCAGTGTTCTTTGGCAAACTGGTAGGCTTGGTCAACATCCTTGAGTGATTCTTCCTTGACCGAGGAGGTCTGCAGCTCGGAAAGCTTCTTCTCCACATCTTGAGACATGATTACTGAGATGGTGCTGGTGGATGAGTACGTGTTCCGCTTTGAGAAGAGCTGACTTGACCGGGACTGCAAGGTAGTGGTCATCAAGGTTCGCAGGCCGAGCGTCGATTCTATTTCTACTCGGCTGAGGAAGATAAGACACTTCAAAGCCTTGATGCACTAATCCTTCTAGAGGTGGCAAACCAAACCCCAGGTCTAGAATGGCGTGTGCATGCGGGGCCGTTATCGCTCGTGCTTCTTTCTCCACGTACCAGTTGATCAGTCTATCCCTGCCTTGTGAACGGAGATAGATAAGCTAACAAAATGACTAGATAATCCTGGGGTAACTACTGAGGCGTACCATGGTAAGATAACACAATCACTTCGGCAAGTATCAGGTTATGTGAATCAAGTCATGTACAGAGAAAGTCATCCAGGTCCGGAGCCCTGGAACTGCGTAGCCGAAGAAGTTACCGAATAAGGACGACTGTTATCTGTTCAAGACCCCCATTGGCTATTTCCGGATATCCACTTTGATTTTCTCGCTTGTTTATTCCCTCATTTAGCCATGCTCGGCCCCCCAACTTCCACATCAAACCAACCCCATCGTCAATCACCATCATCAGGTCCAGACCACATTTCGATTTCGCATTGATGCTGACCGACCCAGCATGGCCGGAGGCCGATTGCACAGGTCCAAGACAGGTTTGTCCCCGTTGGCTTAATGCACCTCTCTGTATGCACATTGCTGATTTATGCCGTAGGGTGCCGGGCCTGCCGCCGCCGCAAAGTCCGCTGTGATGAGAGGAAGCCCATATGCAGCGCATGCGAGCGCCTCAACTTGCCATGTGCGTATGGCTCGGGCCCAGAGGACTCTGGCACTGGGGGAGCATCCAAGTTCCGCGTGCGTTTTGTCAATTCGTCTTATTCCAGGCCCGTGGCAGAGACTGAGGCTCGAGCCAAGGCCAAGGAAATCCAAGTGGCCCCTTCAACTCCAGAGCCTATCAATGATTCTCCCGGTGCCCTTTCCTCTGCTGCTTCCGAAGCAGATCCCAGCTTTCGGTCCCTTCCGGTCAATGTTGACCATAACTCCACCTTAAGCCAGTGTGCCCAAGTTGATCCCATCCTGGGTGCCACTCCCATTACCACAAACATTGTCCAGCAGCAGTCCCATGACAACGGACCCTTAACACTGCAGCACACTGCCTCTGACTGGGATACACGGCCATTGCCCCTCTCGTTATTGGGCGTAAACGCAGAGCCATCAGAAACTTCGTTGCCATATGACAACATCAACAGCCAGGACGTTATTCTTACACATGTCACTCCTATGCAAGGTATCGAGACTGGCAGAGACCCCATGCCAATGTCTGGATTTTTCGACCTCAACCTGACCTTTGACTCATTGGGTGAAGAGTGGATGCCAATACCCTATGAACCTATCCAGAGCACAGCCCCTGCAGCAACCGCAGCGGCTCTCCAGAGATATGACGACGACGACAGCCGGAGCATCTCCTCTGAAGCCAGTGGGCAGGTTACCATAGCACCTGCTGACCACAGCCTAATTCAGCATTACTTGAATGTCATGTCACAATATGCGAAGCTCCGCGGTTCTGCTGATGAGAACATTTACACCCAGATATTCAGTAACATGGCATTATTCTACCCCCCGCTATATCATGCCATCATGGCCTGGACTGCCATGCATCTGGGTCAGACCAAGCGCCAAACCCACCTGATTGACGTAGCTGAGCAGCGGAACAGTCACGCAATAGTTCTGCTGCACCAAGACCGTGATATCGCCCGCCACCTCGAGCTGGCGCTGGTGGCCATATGGTTTGCCCTTCAATTCGACTTGTTGGCCTCTCCGGGGATCGACTCGTCCTGTCGCCACCTTGAATTCGCTGCTGACCTCCTTGATGCGCAACGCCGTCAAGCCGCAGCAACTGAGCAGTCACCATCGCCGTTGCTGCTGGGTCGTATTGGCACCCGTGTTCTGTTATGGCTGGGCACATTTGATGCTAGGGCTTCGTGGGTCGGAGGCACAGGCCGTTTGCTACAGAGTCTTGAACTTTTCCGCACAAGCTATGACTTCCTAGAAGCGTTATTCCCAGATGCAAACCACGGCGAGACGGCCAGCTCATCCCATTTAAAGTTGTCCCTCCAATCGAACCTTGATCTTGACCTGTTAGACAACCGGTTCGCCCTCTTACATCGTCAGGTTATAGCTGCTCCAGCTACCATTTGGTCCGAGATACAGTCGGAACTGTTCTCACTACAAAGACGTCTGGAATCCTCTCCGGTAATCGCAAATGCGCTCGATATCATCCTTCATAACTCCTCGAGGGTGGTGAAGGGGAAAATCACCACTAACGTCTTCAACAATCTACTACTGCTATCAGCATGCTACAGCCTGATCATCGAGTTCCATAGACTATTTCCGTCTCTAGGGATAGGACAACTTGAGCCCACCGACAAGCTCATCTCAGGCGACGTAGCGGCGACGCGAATTATTCGAATATCAGCCTGGGTCTGTCGTCTACGCCCACCATCTCCTCAAAATATCTGGCCGCGCATTCTATTTCTGGCCGGGATCGAGACCACCGACTTGATCCAGCAGGACTGGGTACTAAAAACGCTTTCCGAGGCAGAGAGATGGGGAGGTAACTTCACCAAGACAAGGGCCTTACTAGACTATGTGATCAAGGAACAGGGAGCTCAAGGTGCCAGAGTGGACTACCTAGATGCAATGAAGCAATGCACGGGTTTGTTTATCCTATGATACAGCCCTGCTGGCACTTGTCCTTCTACATCCAAAGGCTCGTGTAGGCCGGATCCCGTTGCGGGGTCGCAGCTCGCTCGCCTGCCTCTTTCTAAAACAGGCAATCCTATCGGATCAGCTCGCATTCAGCGACTTCTTGGTTTATTAAGCAAAGCTAGTAGTAAAGGGCGTCAACATACCAAAGAGCCTCACCGTACCAAAAGGCCCTACTGCCAACTGTAACGGTCTTACTACTTAGTGAGACATGTCTCATATGTGTCAACTATCACCGAAGATTGGTTAAAGAAAAGAAAAGTGTGCAACTGATCACGTGTGGCCTAGTCTTGGGATACATCCCTTGCATATAGCAAAAAAAAAAAACCAAAAAGAAAATAGGTCATCACTCAAATCTATTCTCACGAATCGGTGCACCAAAATGGGGGAGAAATCTTCGATGCCGAACGTCGCCTGTGAGCCTGAGTACACCCCGCGAGTCCAGCGACGAAGGCCCAGCACCTGGGTAGTCTGGATTCTGGTTGCTTTTTCGATGCTATATTATTCGCTGCATTGCATCCTGGCACGAGATCAACCAATCAATCGCTCCAACCAAGACTCTTTGGAGCAAGGACATGGTAGCCGGCTAGCGATTGATGGTTGGTGTCCTCTAGTGGATGCCATAGAACCTCCAGGCGACGATGTCAAGGATAGCCTTCATTTCATGACTCCGGAGCACCAAAGGATCCAAGCCGAGCGGCTAAGCCAAGCTGTCCGTATACCCACCGAAAGTTTTGACGACAACGGCGAAGTTAACCAGGACCCTCGATGGAAAACTTTTGATCAGTTTCATCAGGTCCTCGAGGGGCTCTTCCCACTTGTGTACGCATGTCCCTTGCCCCCGGGTCAAAACGGACGCGGTTTGCAGATGATGGGCGTCATTAACTGACCGACGACTTTTAGCCATGCACATTTCGAACGGAAAAAAGTCAACAGCTACGGGCTACTTTTCACGCTCCATGGTAGCAACCCATCGCTGAAGCCGGTCTTGTTCACGGCACACCAAGATGTTGTCCCAGCAGGGCCTCCTACGGAATGGAAATATCCGCCCTTTTCAGGCCACTATGATGGGTCCTGGGTCTGGGGTCGAGGTTCTGGCGATTGCAAGAATGTTCTCATCGGGCTGCTCTCAGTTATGGAAAGCTTGCTTTTGCAGAAGTTTACACCCCGACGCACAATTGTACTCGCTTTTGGTTTTGACGAAGAGACGGGCGGCCGTCGAGGGGCCAAGCAGCTCAATGATGCTCTCCTTGAACAGTGGGGGCAAGATTCATTCCTCTTCCTGATGGATGAAGGAGGTATGGGCGTGAAAACACTGGGAGATGTCATGTACGCTTATCCGGGGGTGGGCGAGAAAGGATACTATGATGTTGAGATCAGCCTTGCCGTGCAGGGCGGCCACAGCTCCCGGCCCCCGCCACATACTGCCATCGGCATACTTTCCCAAGTTGTTGTTGCATTGGAGGACCAGACATACTTGCCGTCTTTACCGCAGTGGAGCCCTTTCCGTCGAGCACTCGAGTGCAGTACCAAATTCTCGCCGGACAGTGTCCCTGCTTGGCTAGGCGATGCATTGCTTCACGACAGTGCGGACGGTGTTGCTCGCAGACTTACGGAGGTCTTGAGCGACGACAAGTGGCTCTTGCAGACAAGCCAAGCCGTGGACGTAGTAGCCGGTGGCGTCAAGGTGAATGCCTTGCCGGAAAGTGCCAGCGCCTTGATTAATCATCGGGTGGCATTACACCAGTCCGTCGGATATGTCAACGACCATATCCGAGATATCATCCACCCCATTGCGAAGAAGCACGACCTTTCATTAGTCGACGAGCTCAGTGGTATCAACATTGACTCTGTTAACACAAATTTCACGTCGTCTACAGGAGTCCTCCATCTCAGATCTTTACAAAACCTTGCTCCATCACCGCTATCTCCCACCGACAACAACGTATGGGCAGCCTTTGGTGGCACGCTGCGCCACGTATTTGAGAGCACAGTGAGCGGCCAGAACAAGTCTATCGTACCAGTCGGCAACATCATGACTGGGAATACAGACACTGTTCATTACTGGAACTTGACGAAAAATATATACCGATATACTCCTGCTAGGGACGGTACGAGACTGAATACGCATGCCACGGACGAGCGCATGTTGATTACAGCTCACCTGGAAGGAATGAGGGTTTACTACGGTAAGTTTGATCCCTGTGCTTTCCTTTAGCCCCTGTCATCAACAATTTGCCACTAGCAAGGCTAATTGTAGAACTTAATAGATCTCATCCGGAATTTTGATCGTTGGCAAGATAAGTGATGGTTTATGTAGCGGACTATGATTGTAGGGAAGAAGCCATGAGGAGAATACATAATATGAATAGCGTAGTAGACTATGCCACGATCGAGGAGGCTCTGTTTTCCGTTGGCATTATCTCTATTGCTACTTCCACTTTGTTAATGCTATTGTATACCATTGAGTACGCTGCCAGGCTACTGTGTTTAAGCATTATTGATACCGCTAGCAGTACGCCATAAAGAAAGTCAACTCTACACTGAAGTAGCCAAGTGATAGGCAAATGTCACTTCTAAATTACTTCTCGACGTAAAAGTAAATAATAAGAAATGTGCCATCTGGCTCGTGTGTGTTGATCTCTACCTACTCTATGGTAGTCTCCATGTCGTCATGAGGGGATCGTTGATTGGCTATAATTTTACTCCAACAGCTCGCTGTTGTTGCAATGATTCTTTTTGCGATTACGAGAAGAAAATTGCGCTCGGGGTAGGAAATGGAAAGGTGCATAATGCTATCGGACGCCAAGGAAAAGAGATCTTATCAACATGACTCGCCCCAATGAAACATGGCTGGTGATTGAGGCAAGATTTCCAGTGCCTTGACGTCGGACGATTCCCTACCCAATTAGGCAATCTGGTCGGCTATTTGTTCCAAGGATCTTCTGGTTCCATCAATCTCTAGACTCATCTTAACGAGCGATGTTGCCATGGGGGAAACTAAGCGATGTATGGTTTCCGCGTTGACAGAAAAGAAATGGTCAGAAAAGTCTCACGAGATCATGACTTAGGCCACTTGCAGTACACCTGTGCTTGCCAATACTAAACTCTTCCCACTCGGGTCAAGAACCAGCCTATATGATCTCCCGGCAGCCTCAGATATAGCTTCAGATAATAAACGGTGGCAGAAAGGCTATATCCTCGCCATGATCAAGTAGGCCATGGCGGCAAACATGCAGCTTTTCATTGAGAAGGCCAGACTTCCAAGGTAAGATTAAACCATGCTCCAATTGATGCTTTAATATATTAATTGATTAAAACACAGAGAGCTTTGGCAGCATCGCCTTGAAATCTTTTCTGGCTTTCTCAGACAGGGAAACGTCCATTTGTTGCTTGTGGCTTTTTCGCTGATATCCCTCGCTGCTGAATACCTCCTACGCACTCCCTGGACGTTGTATTGTGCCGCCTCCAAGGCCCCGAAGATACCGGTCTCGCAGCTTTCAGTTTCTCCAGCGTATGCAATTGGACAGAGCGTCGCTTCTGCGGTGGCAGTTTCTCTCCTACTAATATGTGGTCTTCATGGAGGCGTCTGGCAGAAGCCGGTTTCCGTGGCCTACATATTCATCCTTGGTCTAGTCCAGTTTGCGTTCCGGCCCTTGTCAGGACTTCGGACAAAATTCAACCATCAAGTAAATCAAGTTGCCCTTGGAATCCTCATCCTGGAAGCCACCGAACAACTGCTTCCACTTGGAATTATTGGATCCCACGTCGAAATATCGTCTATTGGGATAGCTAAGCTGATCTCACTGGCTTATATTGTGCTCACAGCCTTAATCACACCACGCTTTGTTATGAAGCAGTTAGGGACAGTCGAAGATGCGTCAACGCTCACAAAACCTGAATCCTCTCCTGAGGAGACCTGTTCTTGGTTTTCGTACTACCTGTCATACGGGTGGTTGACGAACTTGATATTGCGAGGCGCTTTTCGGGACCTAAGCCTCGATGATCTTCCAAGCCTTCCGTCCTATGATGCCCCAGCTCGCCTGCTGAAGCGCATTTCAGTTGTGCGGCTGAAGGGGTCACGGACATTTTATTCGCTCTGCAAAACATTCCGCTGCGAGATTTCTGCAATCTTAAGTTGGGCGGTCTTGACTGCCATGGTTGAATATGTTGCAGCCTTTGCCATGTTCAACTTGTTAGCATACCTGGAGAACCCCAACTCAACCGCATTGGTGGTTCATCCAGGTGTGTGGATTTCATTGTTATTTTTTGGGCCTATGACACGCTCTGTCTGTTATCAACAGTCCATTTTCAAAAGCACCAGACTCATGGTGCTCTGGAGGGCAACAATTCTCCAGGAAATTTACCAGAAAATGCTTCGTTCTCGAGGCGAAGAGTCCGCCCACATGTGGGATGAAGATCATAGATCTGGAGCTCCGAATATGTCGCAAGAAGAAGAACCAATAGACTCTTCGATGTCAAATTCTGTGAAGACGGAAAGTCTCGTTTCTTATGATGCTGACATGATATCGAATTCGTCTGACCTCTTCTATGCGCTCACCGCGAGCCTTGTTTCGACAGCGGTAGCAATGACTTTTCTCTACCAGCTCCTAGGCTGGCCCTCGCTCGTCGGAATAGGCGTCATGGCCGTCCTCACGCCCCTTCCCGCCATATTCTCGCAGCGAATGTCGCGACTCCACGGATATGTCATGGAGGCTACCGACCTCAGGCTGAGTCGTCTGTCCGAGTATCTACACGCGCTCCCTACAATAAAGTATTTCGCATGGGAGCCCATGGTCGTTGATAATATCGACACCATTCGGCGAACCGAACAACAAAGAATTTGGAAACGTAATGTGACCTCCATGCTCGTCTCCATGACTGGAGACTTGATGTCCCTCGTGAGCTTACTTGCCATGTTCGTCTCTCTTGTGCTGTTCACAAACACTCCTTTGCGCGCACCCATGGCATTCACATCTGTAGCCATTACTGAAACATTACGATCGCAGTTTGTCTGGCTTTGCAAAGTAATCCAATGGGTTTCTCAGGCTCGCGGCTCGCTCATTCGGGTTGATAGCTTCCTTGAGGCGACCGCGGAACGGCAGCGTCATCCGCACGGTCCGCCAGAGTTGCGGGATGCCACTGTGCGATGGTCTGAACACTCCTCCTTTATGTTGCGTGATGTCTCAGTCTCGTTCCGCCTCGCAGCTCTCAATGTGGTAAGTGGAGGGACGGGAAGCGGCAAGTCGCTTCTCCTACTCTCTTTGCTAGGTGAAACGAATCTTGCCAATGGGCTTGTCACATGTCCGGATGATGTCGCCTATGTTCCTCAGACGGCATGGCTGCAAAACACTTCTGTCCGGCAAAACATCGTCTTCTATAGAGACTTTGACCAAGAGCGTTACAATTCCGTGCTGCATGCCTGTGACCTCTCGGATGATCTGAGCCGATTGCCTCTAGGCGACTTGACACAGGTTGGAGAGCGAGGATCTGCCTTGTCAGGCGGCCAGAAGCAACGCATTTCTCTGGCTAGGGCGTTGTATTCATCGGCTTCTACCTTGCTCTTGGATGACATATTTTCTGCCTTGGATACCCACACTACGTCCCGGGTTTACAATCGATGCTTCCGTACCAAACTTCTGGCTGGCCGCACAATTATTCTTGTCACTCACTTAGCAGCCGCGATTGAGGATGCAGATTTATTAGTCTCAGTGGATGGAGGCACTGTCTCTGTTGCCTCTCAAAATTGTGACAAACAGTCTTTGGATAGAGAACTTAGAGGCTCATTGAAAGGGGGGGCAACAGAAACGGTCTTGAGCTATACGCCCAGCAATGAGTCCTCAGAGGACACAGAGACCGAGGTCCCAACTGACAGCACATCTACTTTGAATCTTTGGGATGTTGATGGACCGGAAGAAAAACAAGCCTCTGGACGAGTGCCTAGATTACTGAGTGAGTACACGACCCTGTCCGCTTCCAGTCCTCGCGCCAGCACAAGCTCACCTTGCAACAGTACTAAAATATATGCTACTATTTGGCGGTGCGGCCCATGCCTCGCTGGCTTTATGCAGTGCTCTTGTCGTGCAGTTGGCCTACCTCTCGATCACGCTCTGGCTTTCAGTGTGGACAAATGCCAGAGACGACAAGGCCGACCAGTTTCCAGACCAGAGATTCTACTTGTACATATATACTGGGACGGTGGCTGGCTTCATCCTCCTCCAATTCTCGAACAACTTCATATTTCAACGAGGAGGATGGCATGCATCCAGAACCATGCATCAGCGTCTTGTGAATGCCGTCGTCAAAGCGCCCAATTCATGGTTCAGCAGTGTCTCGATTGGACAGATCCTCAGTCGTTTTGGGCCAGACACTCAATCTATTGATGCAGTATTGACTGACTGGCTGCGCATGACGCTGGACAACGGGCTACGCTTCATGCTCCGGCTAGCCAGTATCGCGTCCATTATGCCCATATTTGCTCTGCCTGCCGGGTTCTTTTGCCTCATAGGGTTCGCAACCGGCGAGATGTATTCGAGAGCAGAGATATCTGTTAAAAGGATTGTCTCTATCAAGTTTGCTCCGATTTTTTCCCACTTCAACGAGACAACAGCTGGGATAGCGGTGATTCGAGCACAGCAATCCATGGATGGGGTTTTTCAACAGTTGCTTGCTGAAAAAATCGCCCAACATATGCGAGCCGCTGAAGCACAGTTCAACTGTAACAGGTGGGTTTCAATCAGGTCTGATTTTTGTGCAGCAACAATTGCTGCGACGGCTGGATATATCGCCTACTCCAAGTCGGGCTCAGCGGGCCTTGTTGGGTTTTCCCTTACCAACGCCATTGGGCTCAGTCAGACCATCCTGACCTTGATCAGAAATATGAACGAGCTGGAGGTCGAACTGAATTCCTTTCAACGTATCCACGACTATACAAAGATTGAACCGGAAGAAACTGCAGAGACCGAAGCTTTACTGGCCAAAAACAAGATCCCAGCGGCCTGGCCAACTTGCGGCAGGGTAGAGATTCGCAATTTGAGGGCTCGATATGCATCAGATCAGGAAGATGTCCTCCAAGATATCAATCTTGATGCAAAGCCCGGCGAGCGGATCGCAATTATTGGACGCACGGGCAGTGGCAAGAGTACTCTGGGGCTCTCCATGTTACGCTCTACACATATCAGTGCTGGTCAAATCCTCATTGACGGGGTCGATATTACCAAGGTGCCGTTAAGGCGCTTGAGGAAGGCCATTGGCCTCATTCCTCAGGAGACTGTACTTTTTTCCGGTAACGCCCAATCCAACCTGGACCCCTTCTCAGAGGTAGATCATTCAGAGCTGCAATCTGTCCTTCAGACATGTAGCTTATCACATGATGGGGTCATCATGGAAAACAGTGATGGCGCAGTCCCCAAGACCCAGCTCGCGACCGATACGCCCATTGCAAGCGGCGGGACGAATTTCAGTAGTGGCCAACGTCAGATCTTCGGCCTCGCGCGCGCCATGTGCCGCCGTTCCAAGGTCATCATCATGGACGAGGCAACGGCGTCAGTAGACCACGAGACTGATGCACGAATGCAGACATTGGTCCGGTCAGAGTTTGTTGGCTCTACCATTATCGCTATCGCTCATCGTCTGCGTACGGTCGTGGATTACGATCGTGTCATTGTTATGGGAGAAGGAAAAGTAGTTGAGTAAGTCTGCACCGCTACATTGCTGTACTGAATCATGAATTGCTGACTGAACTGCAGGATGGGCACGCCGAGCGAATTATTGAAATCCAAGGGAGCGTTCTGGGAGATGCTTAAGCATACTGGTGAGTATGATGAGCTTAGAAAGTTGATAAAATGACAAATTTAAAATGATTGAACAAGAACATGTGTAGATAGTGGACATGATAGGAAGGTTCTGTAGTTTATAAAAATTGAATATTTTACTACATCAGAACTTGTTAGGGGACGACACCTGCGGATAATATTATCTGTACGAATCAGATTATTACACCGAAACACTAACCCCTTCCACCGAGATCACTTTTGAAGCGAGCCGTTGAGATAATAGCCTAGCTTCGGAGCAGCCGTACTAAAAGCAAGATTTAAGAATTCATATTAAAGAATTTCAAATATCTCACAGGCACAGGATTACCAACGATAGCAAGAACTTCGTATCTAGATTACCCTGAAACGACGTTAGACAAAATGAGTGCCTGAGAAAGATGAAACAGTTTTAACAGGGGAAGATGCGCCCCACTATCTAAATTAGCCAATCTGCGGAAATTGCGTCCCCTCCCCAGCCTTTGAATTATTCGAACGCGCAATTCCATTGGTTTGTTATTGGGAAACGCTGGGTCGATGCGACATCTCAGTTGACCAATAAGAAGGCCCTAAAATGGCGCGTTATTTGGGTAATATGAACGCTCTGCCGTATTTTGATCGCGCATGTTTCGCTCTAGCGAATGGATGATATCACCACCTGAGAGAACTGTCTTCGTAATGGCAAAGTATATCCTTGTTCATTGTTAGGTTTCCTCAGATACGTATCTGAGCCGTTGATCTAGTTGTACGCTAAGGTAGACAACAATTCACATATTACATAGACAATTATGAATATGCCGTAATTTTGGTTACCGTATTGTCAGAAATTTGTTCAAATAATGAAGCCAACCACTTCTACTAGCATGATTCTAATTCCAGAACATAAAAACCTAGAAATATAAAACCTACAATTCTTAATATTATAAATTTGTTATGGGAAAATAATAAGAGCATATCGAGCAGGTAGGCATAGACAAATTGAGCTGAAGTGCAGAGTATAGGGTAGGACAATATGGATTGCGATATTCTAATGCAAAATTGTGAAGGACTAATCCATTTGCACAACTTGGCATCTAGAAGTGGGCCGATAATTTTCCGACCAAGTGAATCGATTCAATTCAGGGGAGCAGATCGTCAACGTCATCGCCATGGTCAAATTCGCGTCGCTTTGTCTGCTCCAGAGCTGCTTTTTGAGAAAAATACAGCCAACCACCATGTTGGGCCGATAGCAATAAATCGCTCTGCGAAAACGGCAGATGCTTTTGCTGTGCGCCCCCTGGCCCCCTGCCCTGACCCAGAGATCTCCCTAATCCCCTCCTTTCTTCATGCATGGGATGCTTTCAACATTTCGCTCCACCTCAACCACATACCCACACGCGCCCGGCTGAACCCGCCCCCACGTTTGGCACGGGTATGTCATGCCAGAAACGCTGTGGTGTAGCACCGTTGGCACGTACAATCCGTTGGAGATCTATCGCCTGCTTCTGTTCCATGCCCTGTAGCACACTTGCCCAGCCTGTTCTTGGCAGAGATTGTCAGCCAAGTCTAGGTGATGGCCATGGCGATGGAGAGACCCGTGCTCGAAGAGCTGGATGATGTACATCTTAGGGATGTTCTCGACGCCGATTCGCGGCCGACCTTTGTCATTGACCTTGACCCCGACCTGGAGGCTCTCGATTGTGAGAGGTACCTCCTCCCCGTCTTCTGCAACGCGGCCCTCCGTTTGCATGAGCGCCTATATGACAGTCTGGTAGGCCGTGAAGCCCAAGGTGTGCCGTTTGGAGACCCCCCATCCACGTCGCCAGCTGCCCATGGCCTGACTTCCGTGCAGCACCACGTTCAGCTATCAAGCTCGTATCAAGAGTTCAAGCTCTGGGCGACTGGAGTCACAACTCATGATGATTCCAAGGATGTTTACCCCCTTTGCTTCCTCTATGGCGATTTCATGTGGAGTGGCTCTACTGTACGCAAACGCTGGAGGTTGATTAGTGGCAACCGTCTGTGGCGAGCAACAGAGGCCTCTGGCCCGCGAGATCTTTCATCCGGGATTCCTCCTGAGGTGGCAACTGGGGGTGTGCGCGCCAAGCGAGCGAAAAGGTCTCGAGAGGAATCTACTAGGGCTAATCCTCAAGCCTTAACTGACCATCCTCTCGCTGCTGCTGCATCTGCTAAACCAGCGACGAGACAACTGGACTCGGCCTCACAAACGGCAACAAGCACTCTGACATCATCCAGACTTCCTTTTACCTCAACATCTTTTTGCTACCAGGAGACACCCACTGGCAGCTCGGATGAAACCAAGGGTTCTTCTCACAGCGCCGGATCCTTGACCCTCTCCCGGCCTGAGAAGGCTGTCACTGATTGGACAGTACTTGAACCCAAGGGCACCCTGTCTGCCCACCTCCAGTTTGCTCGGAGTGTCAACTGGGCATCGACACCTCTGGGTCCGATGGAGAAATGGTCGCCCGAGTTCCGTCAGCTAGCTAACTTGTGCATGGGCAACCCGCACCCCGCTGCCCTGTTCTGGGGCAGTGAGCTCACAATGCTGTACAATGAAGCTTATGCTGCCGAGGTAGCCGGGAACAAACACCCTTCACTCATGGGGACCGGATTCTCTGGGCCCTTCTCTGAGCTTTGGGACTATGCTGGCCCGGTGTTCGCTGAGTGTGCCCGTACTGGAATCAGTGTGCGTAAAGAGAACGACTATCTCCCGATCGATCGGCACAACCTGCTTGAGGAGACATTTTACTCTTGGTCCTTCACTCCTCTCTATGGAGGCAGTGACCGCATTCTTGGGTTCTATAATGCCCCATTCGAGACCACCAACCAGGTCCTCGGCCAGCGTAGGACACACACGATCACCAAGTTGGGCGAGTTCACTGCACACGCCAAGACGGTTAAGCAGTTCTGGAGGGCTGTTCTAGACGCGTTGGAGACCAATCACTATGATGTCCCGTTCGCACTCTTGTACTCTGTTGGCGATGGCGAAGATACTGACCACTCCTCTGTCTCCTCTGGGAGCACCATATCTCTCAAGACGTGCTACCTAGAAGGCTCAATTGGCGTCCCTGATGGGCATGTGGCAGCCCCGGAATGCCTGGATCTGAAGCGTAGCCGAGAAGGTTTTGTGCCTTCCTTTCGAGAAGCGATGCGGACTCGCGAACCAACTCTTCTTCACACGCGAGATGGCACCCTCCCTGATGCTCTGCTGGAGGGCATCAATTGGCGCGGCTTTGGGGAGCCGTGCCGCGAGGCTATCATCCTTCCCGCCCGCCCAACAAATGGCGATGCTGTCTTAGCTTTTGTTGTCCTTGGAGTAAACCCGAGGAGACCATACGACGATAAGTACAAGTCATTTACGACTGTGCTCCATCGACAGCTCGCTACCTCCCTGGCTTCCATAATTCTATTCGAGGAGGAGGTCCGTCGAAATCGGGACGCTGCCGAAGCCGCCGCGTTGGAAAAAGAACTACTCACCCAGCAGCTTGTACTCCAAGACAACCGACTGCGACGCATGACAGAACTCTCCCCACTTGGCATGTTCTTAATCAGTCCAGAGGGTCTCCTGAGGGAGGCAAACGATCGGTTTTATGAAATGACCGGGAACACACGAGATGGCCAATACGAATTGTCATGGATGGAGTTCATCATGCCTACTAGTTTGGACACAATGAAGGGAGGATGGGGTGTCCTGGTCGATGATCATATGCCCTGGTCAGGAGAACTGCAGCTGAAAACAAGGCCGACAAGTAGCCCAGTCAATCTCCCCGAAGATTTGAGGGAGTACTGGGTCATGTTCATCGCTCATTTGGAATTTACCGCCGATGGATCGTTGAGATCTATTGTGGGATCAATTATGGATATATCACTGCTTAAATGGGCACTGGGTGTTCAGAACCACCGGCTTCACGAGGCTGAGGAGACACGGCGACAACAAAATGAATTCATCGATATAACGTCACATGAGATGAGGAACCCACTAAGTGCTGTCCTTCAATGCGCAGATGATATATCTACATCCTTGAGCCGTTACAAGGCGAACACGCCACCTCCCCCTTGGTGCGTCGTGGAGTCTTGCATCGAGTCCGCGCAAACCATCGCTCTCTGCGTCCAGCACCAAAAATCCATCGTCGATGATATTCTCACGATATCGAAGCTCGATTCAAACTTGCTGCTGATCACACCATCCATTGCACAGCCTGATATAATCATGCGCCGAGCCCTGAAGATGTTTGAGTCTGAAGTACAGTCCAAGAAGATTGAAGTGGTTTTTGAGAAACACCCTTCATATGGGGAAAATGCTGTTGACTGGGTAACTCTCGACCCAAGCCGAATTCTTCAAATCTTGATTAATCTCATGACCAACGCGATAAAATTCACGGCAACATCACAACGACGGCTGATCACGGTCGGCATTGGCGCCTCCCTAACACCACCTGGCTCTTCTCATAATCTGCCTGGCTTCGAGTACGTCCCTGCTAAATCAGGGTTTGGCTCACAAGTCAAGACTACTGGTGATTGGGGAGACGGTGAGCTGTTGTATATACATTTCAAAGTTGAAGATACAGGTTGCGGCCTCACCGAGGCCGAGAAGCAGATTCTGTTCCAACGATTCAAACAGGCGTCACCTCGGACGCATGCTCAATATGGCGGGAGTGGCCTTGGGCTTTTCATTTCGAAGCACCTGACGGAGCTTCACGGTGGCCAGATTGGCGTAGCGTCAGAGTCTGGCTCTGGAAGCCTCTTTGCGCTCTATGTCCAAGCCCGCCGATCCCCGCCACCGCCCAGTACAACAAACTATGACACTGAAGAGGATGCTCCGCCGCTTGCTACTGAGGCTCAACTCGGTGATGATATTTCTCGCTCCCGCCAAGTCACCCCTCAGCGACAGGATTACGCTACCGCAAGCCCCGGAGAAAGTTTAAATCGGACCAACGCGACCCTTGATCCACGCGACCTTCACATTCTGGTGGTAGAGGATAACTTGATAAACCAAAAGGTCCTCGTTGGGCAATTGAGGAAGACAGGATGCACTGTGAGTGCTGCTAATGATGGCCTGGAGGCGCTGGAGTTTCTTGAGAAGACACATTTCCGGACTACGGACGGCACCGGGAGTTGTCTGTCTATAATCCTGATGGACCTTGAGATGCCAAACATGGACGGCTTGACATGTGTTCGCCAGATACGGCAAATGGAGGACGAGGGTAAGCTGAACAAACACGTTCCTGTCGTTGCTGTGACGGCGAATGTGCGCGATGAGCAAGTGGCTACTGCTAAGACGAGTGGCATGGATGATGTCGTTTCGAAGCCATTCATTATCCCGGACCTCTTGAAAAAGATAGAGATGCTTCTGCTTACTTGATTTATGAAGACATGAGCCTTTGGATAGGGGCGAAATCAACGGCACGGTTCGTCGTGACCAGAAAATGAAGAGGCCACCCCTTCATGGATACATCAATTACGGAATATAAACGGCTATTTTGGTTAGAATATAATTTAATGTAGCGATATAACTCATACTTTTCGACTTAATCAACAACGAGAAGCTTAGAACATGCATCAAATCCATAGTTTCAACTTTATCGATATACAACATTATCTTCCTTTACTAACGCTCATGTGCTAGAATAGGATCAGACAACCCGGCATCATTGCTCTTGTGAAGACATCTTAAGCTGCATCATTTGCCTTATCTATCCTGCTCGAGAATCTGACAAAGAAATTGCTTTGTTTGACGAACCAAGCGTTAGTCAGATGCCACTCATCTTTGGGATCCTCAAAGCGTATCTGAATGCACATTGTTAGCTTATCTCGGATCCATTCAGGGTGCCACAGAGTTTTAGAAAGGGTAGAAAAACTTACGTCAAACCTGCGTAGCAGGCTTGGAACAAGCTTGTACACCTCGAGCAGACTGATATTCTTGCCAATGCATGTTCGACTTCCCATACCAAACTGTACCATGTTTGCATTCATCTTCTTGATCCTCTCATCCATTCTGGTCCTCTCTGCATCATCCAATTCTTCCTCCACAAGCCACCTCTCCGGGCGATAGACATCTACATCCTCACCAAAGATCTCGGGGCGGCGGTGGATGACCCATGCAGAACATCCAACGATTGTACCGCCCTTGACGTAATGTCCGGCGATTTCAACACCAGGTTCTGGAACGATGCGCTCCATGGGCAGCCCAGGAGCTGGATGCATTCTGAATGCTTCCTTGATACAAGCGTCGAGGTATGTGAGCTGCTGCGCCTCCGCCCACGTTACGAGACCTGTCGTGGTATCCAGAAAGACCCCACGCCTGGCGAACTCATCGAGCTCATCTCTGAGCCGTTGCAGGGCTGGAGGATTGCGGAGGAGGTAGTAAAACACTGCCGAGAGTGTGATTGCTGTGGTTTCACTGCCAGCAAAAGCCATGCTCACTGCCATCGTTTGGACAAGCCTGTCTGTCATGAACTCTGGTCGAGCTTCCTTCGCGGCAATGAATTTGGATAGAAGGTCCATTCGCTGGGTTCCTGCTACCGGCTTTTCGGACAATGGTTGTGAGCTGGTACCGTCGAGGCGCTCCCTCATTCGGGCTACTGCAAACCGAGCAACAGGAAACGTCGAGTCGATAATCTTGAGATTAGAGAGAAACAGATAAAGAGGATTTTTAAGAAGTAATTTGTCCAGAAAAGGGATTTGGCCAACCTATTTCCAAGTTTAGGGCTCAGCCGCGGATTAAAAAGTGCAGAGAGATTTCACTTACCGGAGCGACATACAAGAACAGCTTGCCTAGATATTCGACGATGCCATCAACATCCTCATTCTGGGCCACGAACCCATGTCGCTTGCCATATGTAATCTCTCCAATTACATCAAATGCGTAAAACTGTAACCACTCTGTGAAGTTACAACGCACATCTTTGGCCGCGAACAATCTCTCAGTTTGATCTAGAAACAGCCTTGTCGTGTTGTCGACAGCAGGTTCGTACTGTACAAGGGCGGTCATTGAAAATGCGGAGTTGACACATCTCCTGAATTGAGCGTGAAAGGTGTTATCCGTGGTGCTGAAAAGTGATGGCTGGGGGTGGCCTTGTGCGATGGGTTGCTGTACCCGATAGAAGTCGGACTGACACGGAACTGTAAGCGCGGGCTTTCACCTAGGGAGATTTTGTTGAGAGGAAGAAATACTTTGATAAAGCCTTTATTCAGGCCATAGATTGACTTCAAGGCGTCTGGATTGGCGAAGGATAAGTAGTTGGGTCCTAATCGGACAACATCGCCATGCTTTCTGTGCAACCTCAAGTGTGTCACCTCTGGCCTTCGCCGGTAGACATCCCAGAATCTCCACCAGTCCGTAAACGACGCAAGAAAAGGCCCAGGATACTTATGAAGGCCATGGTGAAACTTGTTTTTAATGCACAGACAGAGCACTCCTGAGAGACAAACCAGCAACCAAAGATGCGTTGTCAACACTTCCGGAATTGGGCTGTCTGATAACTTCATGATGAATTTAGCCTTGACGGTCTGTCTTGGCGGGCTTTGGAAACAATGGAAAGGCAACCAAATTTTGGAAAACTACATTGTAGGAGAGAATAAATCGAAATTTATCATGACGTAGAAAATTGGTTACATTCCGAGGAGGGGTTCGGATATTCAACTCCGCAAGGTGACATCTCTGATGGCCTACCCAACTGTCATCGGAATCGGAAGATTTGCGACATATTAATAATGAAGATACTCGTACTTTTAGACAGACTGTCTTGGTAGCTCAGCTCTCTTTCTAAATACCCTGATGACAGATATGGTTCAGCCGCGGCGTTCCGGGTCTGCCGATTTATGTATCGTTGAGATCAGCAATACTGTAGGATTCAAAGGTAATTAACTGCATAGGAGGCGAATATCTGTAGTTAATTATAAGAATAATTTATTTCCAAAGTTTTAACCTTTAAATTGACCAACATATTAATTGATGACTCCGAGAAGTGTACTCCGGCGGGAAGAATAAGTGGTCACAAGGGGTTGCCACTTCGTTCCCCCACTGAGCCGAGAGGAGTACTTGGGAGCATTCAAAATCATCTTTAAGTCCCCCCAAGTATTGGTAATGGTATTCCGTCCGATGCAAAAATGCACAACTGTGGAAAAATCCTATTGGATCTCTAGTATGTCTAACATGCAAAAAGCAGAACGCATAGGAGCCTCTATCGTAGACTTGCTTCAGCGATCTGCGACACCTGTATCAATATGCTATCAATGAGCTTGGAATGCTGCCCTCGTCTGGGCCTTGTCAATAATTGGAAGCGCGAGCCCTCAAATTGGAGATACAAAGGTGCAGGGGGCATTGAAAGCAGGGAAACGGTAAAATATGCAAAAGACCCTGCAAGATAAGCTCTTATCTTCACTTTCATTTTTGATTGTACATTAATCTAAATTCCGGTCTTTAAATCAGAAGCAGCATTTTCGTTATCGGTCGAGCAGACAGCTCTTCTGCGCAGCAATTGATTGATGAAACGGAGTTGCGGACCGCTTCAATGGTTTCAGGTTTTAAGCTGGGGTGAGGTCTCCTGGCAATCTCATAAGCACCTGTCTCCAACCTGAAACAAGATTATGGCGCTTGACACGCCGGCTAGCCGACACATCTGGATCTTTCCTCGCTGTCTGTACTCTCTAAGGCAATTAGTCAACAGAGTTCTTGATCAGCATGTGCGTTATTGTGACGATAATGATGGAAGGATGATGGGAGAAATATATGCCGCGGGTATACGACTTGGCTTTTCTCCATGTGAAAATGCTTGATGTGATATCAAGGAGTAAATCAAGAATATGAAGATCGATCTTTCGATTATCCATGGGGCTTGCCGTTCTATCCGACTGGCCGGAGGAAGAGGCCAAGCGAGTTTGAGATATGTGCACATATTTCCCGAAAGGGCAAGGAATTGGTGCTCCGAAATGGCGGCCGTCATTTTAGGAAATCAAAGATCTCATTCATTTCAATTGAGTATTTTATTTAAAAGGCATTTCGGCTCCAGGAGCTGCAAAGAAAATATGCTCGCCAGTCCTCATCCATTCCTTTAACGATCATTCTTTTCATTCATCCTGCTGGAACAAGATGTTTTACCAACCCACTTTTCTAGCCCTGGTGGCTCTCGCTGGTTTCGCCAATGCCCAAGTATCCGACGACTTTGAAAGTGGCTGGGATGAGACCAAGTGGCCGATATATGCACCAGACTGCAACCAAGGTGGCAGTGTCACTCTTGACAACACTGTTGCCCACAGCGGCAGCTCGTCTATGAAGGTCGTTGGTGGCTCAGGAGGTTTCTGCGGACATATCTTTTTCGGAACCACCTCCGTTCCAACTGGTGGTGATATTTACGTTAGGGCATGGGTGTAAGTCTCCTTTTATTCAAAATTTCTTGGACATGAGACTCCTGGATGATATACTGACTATCCACTGTCTATTAACAGGAAGGCTTCTACTGCCTTGACCGCTAGCCACGTGTCTTTCATCACCATGACCGACTCTGGTCTGGGAGCCAACAAGCATCTTCGTATCGGTGGCCAGAGTGAAATCCTCATGTTTAACCGGGAGACAGATGATGCCACTCTTCCAGCTTTATCCCCACAGGGCATCGCAGCCTCCAAGGCTCTTCCCACCGGTGATTTCCAGTGTCTCGAATACCATCTAGGAACAGATGGTACCATTGAGACATGGCTCAACAGTGAAAGTATCCCTGGACTTCAAGCAGGGCCAAATGCCAACAACTCTAATGCCGATCAGTGGGAGAGCGCCGGTTACAAGCCAGCCATTACTGGTATCTACTTTGGTTGGGAGTCTTATAGTGGCGACATCAACACGTTTTGGTATGATGACATTTCGATTGGCTCCAGTCGCGTAGGATGCGGTGCTACTGATAACAGTGGCCAGACCACTACATCTGTTAGCGAGGCTCCCAAGACGACACTCGCGACAAGCACCAAGGCTGCTAGCACCCCTGCTGGAGTGACCACCACGTCCAAGGCCTCAGAGACTATTCCTACCACATCTGTAGAGACTTCCGAGCCATCTAGTGTGTCTCAGTCTGCTGTGTTGAGTTCTACTGCTACACCGAGCTCTACCATCCCTGACTCTACCACATCTACTTCTACTTCAGCTTCTTCCACTCCCACCAGGTAAGCATGAAATTCCAACAAGATAAACTGTTGCATTGGTACCGAAAGAGTAATTACTAATTGTCGATAACAGAAAATGCTCCAAGAACAAGAAGCGAAGAAACCACTACAAATAGAGTCATGAAGCCTTCGCCGGGCTAGGCTTTCGATGTACTAGTTATAACTCTGCAGTGTATATATAGAGAGAATTACTTTATATGGTTTTGTTGACGATTGGGGGTGGGCGTCATTTTGCCCGTGTCGATATTGTGTTGGGCTGGACCCTTCAATGTTGTATACTCAGCCAATAGAAAATGAGTTATCAGTCTCTCAATGGGGATAAATGGAAGTAATAAATCTCCGAAAGAAACTTCGAAATTATCAATTGCTGAGCCCTGTAAGCCAAGCTTATTTTGCAATGAAGAGGGCGGAGGAAGATGCAAAGAGGCTCACGAAGTGGCTGAGTAATCCAAGGCATGAATCCAAACCGCTTGTCTAATATAGCTTTTTTTTATCATCAAAGGAAAATCAAAGGAACACGTAATTCCGATTAGCTAGTTGAACAGTGGATGTTCGTGCATAGTATTTTTCTATTGTTAGGTATTAGATTCTCTCGGATATCTATAGTAGTGAAGCCGTCGCATCCGAATCGCTTTTTCTATTTGCCATCAGGTTCAAAGCACTTCCAGCCTTAAAGTACTCAACCTGCTCGGAGGTCATAGAGTGGTTGAGTTTGGCCGTCCATGGAAGACTGGCCCCTACGGTGGGAGTGCACTGCAGGGTGAGGCTCTTGCCAGGAGCAATCTCACTGATTCCGAGGATGCTGATCCGATCAGAGGAGTGAATACGATCATAGTCTTCCTCGTTGGCGAATGTGAGTGCTAAAACACCCTGCTTCTTCAGATTCGTCTCATGGATCCGAGCGAAACTCCGAGCGATAATGGCAAGGCAACCCAAATAGCGTGGCTGGAGCGCAGCGTGCTCACGCGAGGATCCCTCCCCATAGTTGTAGTCTCCAATGACAACCCACGGCTGGCCGAGGTTTTTGTAAGCCCTCGCCGTGCCAGGGGTATCGCCCTCCTCGCCAGTGATCCAGTTTGTGACCGAATTAGTCTGATCATTCTCAGCGTTAACGGCACCGATGAGTGTGTTGTTTGAGATGTTATCTAAGTGACCGCGGAAGCGGAACCACGGTCCTGCAGGTGTGATGTGGTCGGTCGTGCATTTGCCCTTTGTTTTAATCAGAATCACGCAGTCTTCAATATCGTCCTTCCGTCCTGCTGGGAATGGGGAAAGCCGCTGTAACCGATCGGAAGCCTCAGGTATTTGAACTTGAATCTTGTCCCGTTCGCTTGAACTTGTGGGCGGTTTGGTGAAGACATAGTCTGTGTTGGCATAGCCACCTGCAGGCAGAGGCTCGCCTTCAGGTGGTGAGAAGCGAAACTCCGAGCCATCATCTTTCTTGATTGAATCTTTTATTGGGTTGAATCCAAGATTGTCTGAGAAAATCTTGGCCATGACCATTTCAGGTGAGGAGAGGAAATTGTATGTCGCGGGGTTGCCGTCCAGACGGCCAGTGAAGTTTCTGTTGTACGTGGTGATGATTGAGTTCCGTGTACCCTGTTCAGGATGTTTGTTAGCGTCTTTGATCCAGATCTGATGAACATCTTACTCGCCTTTTCCATTCCCTCGCGGTCAAACGATCCACAGCAAGGCCCGCATGCATTTGGGAGAATCGTGCTGCCAAGCTCTTCAAACACCGCCAACGCTCCGCTAGCTCGAAGGGTTTCTCTGGTCTGTTCCGAGCCTGGGGAGACGAAAAGAGGCATTTTGGGCTTGAGCCCAGCTGTGAGTGCTTGCTTGGCCAAGTCTGCCGCCCGTGTCATGTCCTGGAATGAAGAGTTTGTGCAGGACCCTATGAACCCAGCAGTCAGCTTTGACGGCCAAGATTCTTGCGTTGACACATCGCCAAACTTGGAGATGGGGGTAGAGAGGTCCGGTGTGAAAGGCCCGTTGATGTGCGGCTCAAGAGTTGATAGGTCTATCTCAATGACCTGGTCGTACTCGGCTCCTTCATCTGCTTTGAGCTCATCTGCCGCGAAATCTGCGGCGGTAGCAATTTCGTGTCGGTGTGTAGCCTTGAGATATGACTTCATCGCGTCCGAGTATGGGAAGATGGAAGTAGTTGCCCCAGTCTCGGCGCCCATGTTGGTGATTGTGCACATTCCCGTCGCTGACAGAGATTGGGTCCCGGGGCCGAAGAACTCAATGATGTTTCCCGTTCCGCCTTTGACTGTGAGGATGGAAACTAGCTGGTTGATCACATCTTTGAAGACATTAGATTCTTGAGCTCAATGCTTTGAAGGGAGTTTTGCCTTGCCTTTGGGGGCCGTCCAGTCTGAAAGGCGGCCCGTCAGCCGAACTCCAATAACTCCAGGAGCTTTTAGTTCAAACGGGAGACCAGCCATAACATCCACAGCATCTGCTCCGCCCACACCGATAGCCATCATTCCCAAGCCGCCGGCATTAGGGGTATGAGAATCAGCGCCAATCATCAAGCCTCCGGGGAAGGCATAGTTCTCCAGAATGCTCTGATGTATGATACCAGCGCCGGCCTTCCAGAAGCCAATGTTGAACCGTTTACAAGCACTTGACAAAAAGTCGAAGACTTCCTTGTGCACGTTCAGGGCATTAGGTAGATCAACATCCTGACCCTTCTTTCCAACAATCAAATGATCACAGTGGACGCTTGTCGGGGCTGCTGTTGAGCTCAGACCGGCAGACATGAACTGAATTATGGCCATTTGAGCAGTTGCATCCTGGCAAGCCACTCGTCTGGGACGGAGCTTCAGCAGAGTTTTCCCCCGCTGCAGGATTTCCTCCTCTATGTTGTCCATATGGGCTACCAAAATCTTCTCGGTATACGTCAAGGGTCGGTTATTGCTGGATGATTGTGTAAGCGATTTCTGCGTATGACAATCTTTATGAAGAGCGCGCCGCATGAACTCACAATCTGCGACCCAGCTCCACCTTTCTAATGAAATCGCCATAATCGATATACTGGTCTGGTTCAAACCTGCTGAGAGGCGCCTTTCCAGGAGTGCTCCCACTGACAGTACTGAGCTTTCTCAATTGTGCGTATTGTGATTGGAGACATAGACTTTGGCGGTGGCTCAAAGCCTGACCAAGCATTGACCGATGCATCTTGCTCGGTCTTTCCTAACTGCTGTATTTCTATGTATTTCTACCAAACCTAGGAACCATTTGCGCAGTCGGCACGAAACCCTCCTTTATTACCATGGGATGTTTTACTCTTGAACTAGTGTTCGGCTCCCAGACTGGTTCTTTGCATTGCATCTTCCGAGGTCAGAATCGGCTGACTGTACCTCGGTAAACGTTCTCCTGAGCCAACCTTTGGGGTGAGAGTCCCCGCACAACGACTTCGTCGACGCCCTGCAGCATGCTTACTCCTGGCCTGGAAATGGCAAGTTTAATACGATAAGTACCTTAGCGGAAGTGCACTGCGGTAAATGAACCCCTTAGTTCGTTCGCAGCAATGACCAGAAGCCGGTTCGATAGCTAGATAGAACAACAAGCTCCCCTAGTAAAAAATTCCACGGCCGTGTTTCAATTATATAACCATAGTTCATCACGAATTCATAAATTGATGTTACACTTGGCCACGCATCAATCTGCCCGTCGATGCGAGAAAATTCTGTCTCCAGGGCAGGGTCGGTGGTAGGTCCCCGGACCAGGAGGTTGTACAACATCCGTCTTTATTGATGGTCAATTAGAACTGGCTATATACATATATAGAGAGCCAACCTCCTCGCAATCATTCCATCGTCAGCATGCCCGATTCTTCATTAGTCTATCATGATCACCAAAATGCATCGTATATGGTAATTTAAGGCGTCAACCTAAAACCCTACTTGGGGGAGTCTAATAATTACTTCTTACTGAGCAATCCCAGAGCATTCTCAGATCGAATAGCTTGAACCTTGGCTTGATCATCGAAGACCTGTCCAATAACACTCTCGAATTGGGTGATACCGGCAGCACCGGCAGTCCACGAAGTGAATGGCACGTCTGAGCCAGAAAGGATGTTTGTGTAGTTCACCCATCGGAGAAGTGGTGGAATTGAGTAGTTCACGGGCCATGGCCCAGCGAGATCAAAGTAGAACTGAGTGGACAGGGCCTCCTTGAGGGTGTCGGCGGTCAGAGTCGCACCGCCAGGGTACAGGAGGGGGTAGAGGAGGAGACGGTCCAGAGTCGGGATAAGGCCGCCACCCGCGTGAGGGATGATCCAACGGATGTTGCTGAACCGGGCGGGCACATCAGAGAGGAAAAGGTCGGCGACAGTGCGAGCTGTGTCGAAAGGAAAGTCAAGCAGAGGTGCCGTGACCATACGGTCGGCAATAGGACGGTTGAGGGCCTGCCACTCCTGTTGCGTAATCTTGGGGTCCTTTTTGTCGTCAATCTTGTATTGCTTGTGGTTGTGCACGGTGCAAGGCGTGGTCGGGTGCTCAAAGATTGTCACGCCAAGCTTGTTGAGGGCTTCATAGATGGGGTCGAGCTCCGGGTCGCCGAGGTAGAGGCCATAGTAGTTGGACATGACCACGATCCCGTCCGGCTTAGGGTTCAGCTTGTTGAAGCAGTACTTGATCTCCTCGAGGGACGCCTTGACATCAGGGAGGGGCAAGGACGCGAAGAAGCCGAACTGGTCTGGATACTTGGCCTTGAGCTTGGACCCGTATTCATTGACCTGGCGGGCTAGCTTGATGGCCTTGGCCGTGGCCGCCTTGGACGGGGGAGTGAGGTACACCCCGGGGCTAGAAATTGACAGGTACGACTTGGAGATGGATTGATTCTTCATGAACTGAAGGTGACTCTCCGGGTCCCATTCCTAAGAATCAATCAGCACAGATTTCAATATGTATACAAGGACAGGGCGAACCGGAATTGCGGGCATGCCATCCGGGCCCGGGAGATGGCCGGCGTCGCGGAGGGCTTGCTGATAGAAGTCAGGGAGGTAGTGAGAGTGTGTATCAACCCTCGACTGAGCTTGGGCTCCGAGCACGGACGCCATGGAGCAGATGGCGGCGGTAAGAATGCTGGACTTCATGACTGCAATTTAAGGCTCTTGCGTCTCACTGCATGAAAAAAAGGGATCTTGCTTGATGTGCTGCCGCGGGATGATCCGCAGGGAGGGTTCCGTTATGAAGGGACAACACTCTGCAACAGTGACAGTCTGCTGACACTCCTTGATTGTGTAGCGTGTGGCTGCCGGCTGTACATATAGCACGTTGTTGATCCCCTGGCTTTGTGTTCCCGGGCATGGCATTTGAGAAAAGACCACCTGCCAAGGACCCCCATCCCTGTAGTGCTTTGGGGGGGAGAGATTATTGAACGGCAGGATGGGGCCGGAGGATTCCGCTGAGCGGATTCGCCGCTCTGAAGCCTGGGGGTATGGTCCCAGCAACAGGTATTCATTGATGAGGGAACATCAGCCCGCCTCATTAGCCCAGGCTAAAAGCCGGCCCCAGAATGTTTGTTGGGCGGACCGCAATAAGCGGACCTGATGGTTCCATCAGCTCGAATCAATAGTTTGATTGATGGTTTGGACGTGACAACAAATGGCAGGGCCGGTAGCCATGATAAGCGATATCCGGCTGGGCCGAATCCCTAGTAGTTTCCTGCAGGCTATTATTTGCGACCTAAGAAGCATAGGCAACAGCCGAGCGAGATGAGGCTGCCCTGAATCCTTTGCAAATTAGCCACGAATAATTAGTAGGGACAGCGCATAAGCATACTGATGTCGCTACGATTGCCTTGTGAGGCCAGCATCATCAGCTATTTGCCAGTAAGACAGATATGCTCCAAGTAAGATATATTTTGATGTTTGTATGACGATGCAATCAAGTCGTAGGAGTTGGTTGTTCGATTGTGTACTCAGAAAGCATGCTTAGTTCCACCAGCCGATTTATTAAGCTTGACCTTGACCTTGGCATGATCGTCTGGCAGAGATGGCGCAATCTTTAGTGCTGTGGACTCGTGTACACATCAAAAAAATGGCATGAGACTGGGGAACCCAGCACTGAAGAGATGCAATGCTATGCATGAAACAAACCGTCAACCCATGAGCCCAGTCTATTGAGCCGAACAAGATAAGACCTCCGGTGAACCAATAGTAGCCGTGCCATCGCGCTTGGCCTCGTAAGGATCGCGGCCGCTTAGGAATTTTGGAGGCGTGATTTTCAAATACACTGGCTGGTCGGATCTCGACGCGAGCAGGACCAGGGCCACGGCCGCGGCACATTCCCGGCTCCCTGAACGTCAGCACTTGCTTGGATGCACCCTCTATGCTACAGGGAAGGCCATCAGGAGGGTGGCATAGAAAGTGGCACACTCTAATCGCAACGTTGTATATATCGGTTAAAGTTTTGGTATTCCCCGATGGGTGACCGAAGTTGCAATAATCGACGGATAGGAACATATGTCTCTTCTGGTACTTGTTCATTATTATGTTGCCCGTTAATGAGACTGCCGGAATCCCATTTTACCAATCTTTGATGGTGTGACCTCTTCAACCGATGGCTTCGCGCCGAACATTCACCCCTCTTGCCCTCCGCTTGTCTCCTTCAGGAAGCCTAGAAACCCTTGTGATGGCTCGTGCTAGCCTCCGTCGAGCGTCGCCACGGCAGGCATTGATCAGCTTTGTTACCCGTGTAGCAGACAGCTCAAAGCAGGGACCGGGGCAGGGGTTCTGACTAGTGATCTCCGTGGAAGGCCCGCCTATGAAATCCCCAGTAGATGGGTGGCTAACCCTCGGGTTGTCTGGTGATTTTCTCTACCGAGATTTTCTCTTCGGATTCAGGGGCTTTCTATTCGGGTCTAGGCGATAGAATGCTTCGTCGCATCCGAGCTGAGATAACCCCCTTGGCCTCGAGGGAATCATCAGAGATTTTTCTTGGCTTGGGGTATATCAACCCACAACCCCACTTGGCCCCCCTCGAGATCAACACGATTTCTCTATCCATTTTCCAATGGGTCTCGGTCCCGAAATAATCTAACTCCCGAGGGCATAATGTATGTCGGCAACATCTATGTCCCCCCTCAGAATTACCCCCTGATTGGGGTAGGGTTCACGTTCACCATTCTTGGTGTTGTTACTGTTTGCTTGAGGGTATTCACACGAGGATGGCTGATCAAGCACTTTGGAACTGATGATGCTCTCATCGTATTCTCTGGTGTAGGAGTTTCCAAGTCGCACCAAAGCATTTATCATGATGGATTTGAGAGCTAATACTTGACCGGATGCTCATCAGCTGAGCTCCATAGGGTTCTTCGTCGCGGCCATGGAGCGTATGTCCTCTTCCAAAGCTCCTCTTCCCGTACTCGAAGTTAACACTAATATCATCAAAATCAGAGGTCCGTTATGGCCTAAACCAACCAGCCGATCCCGACCTCGCCGCCCCCTTCCAGCTGTCCACCTACGTCAGCATGACTTGCTACAACATCTGCCACCTATTCGTCAAATTGTCGATCGCACTGCAGTGTCTAAGAGTCTTTACGACGCCAATCGCAAGGCGCGTGTTCCTGGGACTGCTCATCTACCTCGCAATATATGGCCCGTTCTGTGTACTTATGTCCGTTTTCACATGCTGGCCAGTCAATAAGTACTGGGAAGATTCTGTAGAAGGGAAATGCCTTGACCGGGTGACTTTACGCCTTGCGTTTGCAGGAGTCAATATCTTCAACGACCTTGCGCTCGTGTGTGCACCTTTACCTTTGCTCAACAGGCTACAAATGGCGTCCAAGATGAAATACATTTTGATGGGAGTCTTCGCTGCAGGCGGCGTGTAAGTCTCCCACTCCAATCAACCCTAATCATACTGACCTTGTTTTTCTTTTCAGTGCATCTGCCGTCGCTATCGTTCGATTTTACTCCTTGTGGTCTTTTGGACAAGTTCCTTTGACTGAACGGCCGTGTATGAACCCTTGTCCCCTGCCGAAGCGAAGAATATTTTACTCATCGATGGTATAGCAAAGGGGATGGAAATCGCGCTCTGGTCCTGCTTGGAGAGCAATCTTACCATCATATGCGCCTGCGTACCATCTCTCAATCCACTCCTCATCAGACTGCTCCCCGGTTTCATCACCTCCTCTGGGAGGTCAAGGTCGCTCGGACTGGTCTACACTCCGAATCACAGGACTCCTCTTAGTCGGGCCAATTCTTCCTGGAGGAGAAGTCGTCGGAATCCAGACCCCTCGGATTCAGGGGCTGAGACTGGGCCCAAGGGGATCCAGGTTGAGCAGTCTTTCGAATTGGGACACATTGTCGTCCCTGACGATGACAGTGAGAAAAATCTCGTGACGGGCACAGCGACGGCGCAATACCACTCAGAGATTTCCATACAGGCCGGGAAGTCAAATGCTAAATAGAGGGCTTATACCACATGAAAAGCCAAGTTTGACGCATGAAACGATTTAATTGAATTGAATTTAAAATCGAATTAGAAAAGATTTCAACAATATCCATCATTCCGAAATAATATCCTGTGACTTACGTTGATTCTGGCCAAACTCGATATTACCCACTTGTTACTCGATAGCTCAACCACACACGCAGCGTGATCTGTCTTCCGTTGCAGTGAGATTACCCTATAGCGAGTTCATTCCGGTCGCGACTTTAATTTCAGGGGGAAGAGCAAATGTTGTTTTGCGTTTGATTCATTGTGCCGTTTGGAAACAAGACACGTGCAGAAGGGGATTCTGATCTGGAGCAAGATGGTAGACGTTTCGGCTTAATGAACCGAAGATTGGGATACTTCTATATACATGGCCGTATGCTTTTGCGTTCATCAACACCGTTTATCACTTTTCAAAGGGCCATAATTTCCAGCGCCCAGCCAATCATGCCGCACAGCATGAAGCCGATGAATATCTTGGCCTGGGGAAAGCCAGGCCCACCGAATTCTGGGTCTAGTCCGTTTGCTTCGGGGAAAAGACTGGCACACAGCCCTGCCAACCAGTAGATGCTGCCACATATCATGGCAGTAGTGAGAGAGTCTTTAGCAGCAGCTTTGCTCGTTGTGCGGCGCCAGCTGTAGTACAGCGTGAGGGCGCCAAGCATGATGGAGAGGGTGATGGTCTGCCCGTTGTGGAACCTGTGAGTAAATGGTTAGCACACGTTTCTCCGAGCATGGGGTGTGGAAAGACAGGGTAGCTCTGGTTGCTGACTTTGCGTGTGGTGGCCATCGCGGGTTATACTGGTGTGTCTCGTCCATGTCCGCGATGGCGGCGCCGATCAGGAGACCGACAGCGTCTATGGTTAGCAGACACTTCCCGATCATAATGAGCGATATTCAGGATTCAAGCTTCAGTTTAGGATTGTATAAGATGAGAGATGGGGTCGAGAAGACTGACATCAACTTAATTAGATCCATCACTTGTTTTATACTTTGACCTTCTCTACCTCATCTAATCATCATGATTGCATAAGCTGCATGCTTCAGCAATCTGGCCTCAGGCCACTTCGGCCCCGGAAATAACATACCCGTGGCTTGATGCTTTGCCGGTTGAAGGAATTAGCCAGTGGTGGTAAGAGGCGTTTCTCCGCTTTTCGGCATCATAGAATCTAACTTAAGCCCGTGCCCGTTCGTAGGCCCGAAGTATCATCCACCTGGCTGACAAATGTTGATAGTCGCTTGTTGAAACCCGAGAGCAAATCGTACTTTGGGTGGATCTATATCTATATGTCATTGGCACCAGAACTAGTAGCACGGCAGAATATTGTACTTGATATTGCTACTGCCATGTTTTGTCCTAACCTGTCCAAGATCAGGCTCAAGCGGAAGTATTTTTAAGATATCCTATGATATGAACAAGTCTTATTATTCCAAAATCCTTCTACATACCACCTCAATATGAGAGTGCTCTACACAAGGTCTAAGCTGACCATAAGGATATGGATGAACGTGGTAAACCCTTAAATGTGGTTTTGCTAACAAGTATAGCTGGGAGACATAAGGAGAATCAAAGGTACGGGGTTTCTTTATAAGCAGTAATCCAACTTGTACATCTGGAGACCTGAAAACTGAGATCGGAATCAAGCCAGATAGCTCCCATATCGGTGTTAGCCGACTGGGAGTAAACCGCATCAGAGCTAAATCACAAGAATCTCGATCGGAGGAGATCAAGGTCTTGGGCGAATGGCGCCCGCGCTGAAAAAAAAAGTTGACAGCTTGCTTTTACGTGACGAGTGTTAACCGGGCGAACACACAAAACTAGCTCCATTATTATGGCTTTCATATTAGTGGATTTCATTCTTTTTACCGAAGCGTCTCACTCAGCATGATAATAATCTACCTATCAGAGTACCTTGTATTGAACTATTCCATCCGGTAAGAAAATATGTGACGTGATTGGATGGGTGTATGCGGGAGGCCCTCCAAGTGAGACGAGATGTGACACCTTAAAAACGAGGGACAACTCCACCATCCCCTTCACTCACCCTTCACCTTTTTCCTTTCCCTTCTTTCCACTTCTTTTTCCCTCATTCCGCGTTTCCAGTATTGATTCTCTCTGCCTGACTTTCTAACAGTACTAGAGGATTCTGCGTTCCTCGACTACAACTTCAAGATGAAGGCCCTCATGGCGAATATCACGGAATGTCTCTGCGGCGCATCCGCGAATCGGGGCCTCCCACACTCTCAAAAGCATCTTGAAATAATTTCCGAAAAGCCCATCTTCTCGCCCTACACTGACGACGAGCGTGTTGGCCAGTTCGTTGAGATCATTCGCACGGCCGAACTGGGCGACCCTCATCTTCTCTCGAAACTCAACGCAACCATCTCTGCGTCTGGATGGAAAGATTCTCTGTCCGAATCCATCCTCCACGGTATAGAGGCAATTCTGGAAAATGGGGCGGCAATGGGGGAGGCAATGGCCGAAGCTGTCAAACGCGCGACGAATCTAGCTCGAGAATTCGCTGAGCGGCACCCCGTTTACGCCGCCCTCATTGCCGCCGGCACCATCATTGCGATCGGTGTTCTGGTCATCATGGGTCCCGGATGGGTTCTAGAGGCCTTGGGATTTGCAGCTCGAGGCCCACGGCTCGGTAAGTTTGCATTTTGTCGTTGTGATTGGGAGCCCGCTGACTGACTTGGTTGAACAGGCAGCTTCGCCGCACGTTGGATGAGTCGCATTGCCAAAGGGGAGCAGGGCCAAGTGGTGCGAGGATCTCTATACGCTTATCTCCAGAGACTTGGTATGACAGTGGGATAGCTTGCCCATCTCTCCGCGTGTTAAGGGATACGAACACCAGGGCTATGAGTCCAGATACCTCTACCCCCCAGTAATGGTCAGGATAGGAGGATTAATGATCTGAAGTGCTGGAATTTTGGCAGTTAGCTATCCTGTCCTAGCTTATACTGTGGTTTCTCTACTTCCATCTGTAGCTCGGAAACCTAAGGAATGATACTCTCAGAAGTAATTTACACATGATGCTTTCTTAATCATCAGCCCTGTTCTGGAAAGCTTCCCACGCTTCGGCGGTATAGCACTTCAAACAATCATCACACAACCCGCATCCACCGCATCCTGGTGCTGCCCAGGAGCCCGTGTAAGGATCGACATACTAGTCGGCGCCCCTCGGTGGAAAAGGGCCTGTCTTGAGATCGTGCCTGTCCGGCATAACGGGAAACCGGCTTTCCCCTGGGGGGTGTATCTGGTTGGCCACTGTGAAGATGTAGACGCCATGCTTCCTGCCCGCTGCAATTGCTTTCTGGAACGAGACCACGTTTCTTGGCTCCGCCACGCGCCTTTCAATCTGGTCCAGATATATGACTCCAAGATTCGGGTAACGCCCACTCTCGAGCATGGCGACGACTGCATCGTCGATCGTTTCGTTTTCTTCATAAGGTCCCCTGTCGAAGTACTCTCTGTTTTCTTCCTGGCCATGGATGAGTAGTACCTCCAAGCTCTCAGGGAGCCCAATGACAAATTGACGAACCAGGCCATCATGGTTTAACAGAAGACCTTCTTGACCGATACTCTGCGCTTCTTCAGCATCTCCAACCACAGTAGAATCGGAGGACGAGACGGGTTGTGCATTTACGCTGTCTGGGGGTTCACAAGGGATGTCACCGTTGCAGGCATCGCCCAGGTCAATTTTGTCATGAAGACATTTGGCACACAATGTGGCAGTTCGAGCCCTCACACTCTCGTGATCGGCTGCCGCAAAGGCTTCTACCTGCATGTCACCGATGCATATATCAACCACACGAAGGCCACTCATTGTATTGATATAAGCCGGCTCAAACAAGTCAGTTGTAGATCCAAGCATTTGGTCCGGGTTGTAGAAGAGGACTTTGCGCAGGGTCGCACGCGAACGAGATTGCGAGAGGAGGCGCGGGAACTGTTGGACACTATCCAGATACTAGGTCGGGTCGGTGCTTCCACGAACAACAAAGGATTCGAGTCGAGAGGGCGCCCTGCAGATGGCTTTCCGTGGCTGGAAGTTGTCTAGTTTAATTTTGTCAAGTATAAGTGTTTCAACAGTGGAGTTACCAGGCACGAAGAGGTCGTCGTATTCAAATTGAACGTGGATATTTCGATAATACACGCATCTGATGGCGGGGAGGGCGAGCAGGACTCCAAGGTACATCACATCCGTAGAGTATTGATCGATCTGCTCCTCAATATTCACGGGGATGTGAACGGCAACCTCAGAAAGAGCCAAGAGCCCGGGGGGCCATGGAACACCATGGGTCGTACTCCAGCTTGCAACTGCGGCGATCCAGAATAATGTGGAGTGTCGGCCTTGGATTTCGACGAATTTTAGGACTTTAAGCCGAGGGAGCAGTGAAATAGTGTAGGCTTTGAAGAATCCATCTTCCCCGAATTGTATGACCGCTCTAATTACCCTCTGGCTGTCGTCATCTTCGGGGAGAGATCTGGCAAGATACTCTAACTGAATTTCGCTGATCGGCGAGCGGAGGGGTCGCTCATCCATGGCGAGGGAAATTCGGCCGCCAGGACTGATCAGCCAGGAGCGCCACTCGCTCCAATTCCGCCTGGTGCCCCAGACCTCATACTCTCGCACATGCCAGGCGGCGATGGCCTCAGGACCGAAACCAGCCTCTGCGCTGAGGAAGAGGCGAACGATGTCTTGTGGAGACCGGTCCGAGACAACGTGATACTCTGAATGGGCTTTGCGATGGAGTTGGAGAATATACCCTGATTGATAGAAAATGAGCTTGCAGGTAATAGCGAAGGAAAAGTGGTATGAAGGCTCCAGGAAGGCGTAGATGGAATGGGCGAGTTCGGGGGGGAACCCCAGCACGCCAGACATGCTGACCCTCGTTGACGTAGCTGATATTTCGGGATGGATATTTATCTCTTGGAATTGGTAAGGGAAATTCGTAAGGACGATTCGAGCTCGTCGTAGTGTATGATGTTGGGATGAATGTTGACAATGTGTTTTGCCACTTGCAAGCTGAGATGAAGGTTCTGAGTTGGTGACAGCACACACGGAAGGAGCAACGCGGCTGTGTTTGTTGATCAGACGCGCAGGCCGTAGATGTAATTAGGCTCAGGCATCAAAGACAAAAATGTCCTGGTAGCATTCAACTTTGTTGACGTTTTCTTTGAGTTCATGATCCTAACAAAAGTATAGGCCTTTATATTGTATTAATTCTTATCAAACTACAACTCTACAATGTCTGGATCCAACGGGGTCATTCTGCATAATGTTCTTTTCGATGTCAAGGAAGTGTCTTTTTCTTGGATAGTCCAACTTTCTAGTAAAACAGCGCACCGCCTAACAAGTTGACAGTCATGGGCAGATAGAAAAGGCCAGTTGAGAAAGCACTAAGCCCCAAGCGTCTAAGAAAGCCCCAAAGTCTTCAGTGTCAGCTCCCACAGCCTAGTCTCTTTACCCTCGTCGTATGCATAATCGCTGACACCCGTGAGACCAGGTATGTAAGCTTTGGGGCTTGCCACAGCGCAGTCCTCCAGATACTTGCCGCCCTTTCCCTCCCATTCCTGGCCAACTGCTGCCAGGACCGTGGTGGCAGCACCTTGCTCGCGACTCTTGACCCATTTTGACAAAACCGGGTCTGTCTTGAAGTTATCCACCATCTCCTTGGGCGTGTGCTGCGACAGGTTGGTATCGGTAATACCCCCCGGCATCAGGCTGAGAGCGTGGATGCCTTGAGAGCCAAAGTGACGATCAACATAATTGGCCATATAAACCTGCGCAAGCTTCGATTGGCCATATGCTGTGAGAGGATTATAGTTCTTCAGGTTGAAATCGTCCCAAACAATCTCGGACGCCTGATGCCCGGAGCTTGCAACGTTCACCAGCCTCGACTGAAATCCGGGGGTCGAGGACTTGGCCATTGCGTCCTTGAGCAGCCAGAACAAAAGGAAGTGACCAAGATAGTTGACGGCGAGCTGCATTTCAAACCCGTCCTCAGTCTCCTCACGGGTCGGGATGGTCATGACCCCGGCATTGCAGACAAGGACGTTGAGTTGCGGCGACTTTTGGAGGAACTTGGCTACGCATTCGCGAACAGACTTTGAGCTGCTGACATCTAGCTCAATGAGCTCGACGCGGCCGGGCTCGAGGAACGACTTGCATGCGGCCTCGCCCTTTTTGAGGTCACGAACAGCTAGAAAGACCTTGGCGCCAGTCGCAGCAAGAGCGCGGCCTGTCTCAATACCAATGCCCGACGAGGCGCCAGTGACGAGGAATACTTTGTCCCCCAAGGCACCCTCGCGGCCCTCGTCCTTTATGATTTGGAGCGCTGTAGGTCGTGCGTCTCCGGGCCCAGTGCGATTCTGGTGTGCTTGGGCGTAGCGAGACATTTGTGCGAAGTAGGTCAAAGTCGAGTGTATAAAAGAAGAGTTGGATCAAGTGCAATTACTCAAAGGCTTGCTCAAGTGTGAAAATGATTAGGCTGTCGATGGTCCCTCGGCCTTATTATACGTTTCGGCCTGTGATCAAGGTAGACTCTGTTTGATACCATTTCCGAAGATGCAAATAATCACATTGTGAAATTATCAACGACGGAATCAAAACCTCCCAACTCTCCGCATTGTCTGTCAGCACATTATGGAACCTTCCATTACGATATCAGAACGTTCGAAGCAATTATAGGTCCAAACTCCGATCACCAGGCTGTCATATGACTAAGCTACGAGAAGCCTCACTGGATTGGCTCCAAGTCCGCGGACAAGATGACAAATGTGTTGAACGCTGAGCTATGATTTCCATTTAGAGAAGGACAATGTTTCACTTTTATCTCCGTATCTTAATATCTTAGTAGCCTCGGAGACTTTTGAGTTTAATCGACTCCCATGCGCGATGCTTCCGGAGCAAAGTCGGCCCGTATTTGAGAAGCATGAGTTCAGTCGTGAGGCCAGAATGAACCTCGGACAAATTGAGTACTTAGCATACTAAGCATACTATCGCAGGGCCGATGATTTCTTGGAGTTACTTGCTCTCACTCTTAATCGGTTTTGTTGTTAGATCGCTTCACTTGCCTTTGGACTGGCTCCAGCGGTTGCTTATCAAAAATCTAGAGAAAAGATAGGGCATCACCCTGAATGCTCGATAAAGAATGCAGTAGCATAATTGTGGCTGGTGTCGAAAGCGACAAATCCTTTGCGGAGGTCATTGGCTTGAATTCAGGGAGCACGGACGACCACCTACGCTCTCATTATGAACCTGGCGGCATTGCTCTCCAGGGGAGGGGAACAACCAATTCATATACTCTTACAGGTGAACATCTTTCAATCAGCTTGGATATTTGGCTAACATGAATTGAGTTGTATTACGCTAGGTTGTAGAGCCCAGAGACTCAAGCTTTATTGCCTCGGCTCTTGACCTCAGAGTAAACAGGGGCCACGATACAACTGTACATAGACAGCTCCACACGACAACAAGCTGGCTATGTATGCACTAATTTATTACTGTCAGCGAGAACAGGCTCATTTCATCAGCCGCATACGCTAAACGCAAGGATCAAGCGGAGCTTCCTAATGAGACTCGGTCCATCCTCCTAAATTTGTCTCTTTCCTGGCATATCCCCTCTCCCAGGGCACAAAAGTGCATTTTGAAAAAGTGTTGGTTCCAGTAAATGAAAAATTGTCGGCCAACACAAGATCCCTGTTCAGCTGGTTCTTCATAAGTCTTAACCCGGCGCCAAAAAAAAAGGGGGTCTAAGTAGAGATGGATTGACTGCGTCCGTTGCAGTAGTAGCTCCTCTAGCTACCCTAGAGTTCCTGACAATCAATAAAGAGCTCCAGAAACTTCTCTCGAGATCAAAACGTATCATTCTTATCCCGGTATATCAAGTAACATAAATAAGAGCACTGAAAAACAATGATCTGCTTGATGTGATATGTCGGTTTGGTCCAGGTAGGAAGCCCTAGTTGCGATTTCTAAACGGTTGGATATCTTATGACGCTGCTAAGCTTGCAGTCACATTTCCATTTCTGTCAGTTTCCGCGAGATTACATTCACATTCATTAGCGAACTTTAGGTGCTTCAATAGACTACAGAGTACTTGAACTTCACAGATAGTCTTGATAGCAGACATCGTCAACCTTTAATCCGCTGGCACCAACAAACTACTCAGAAGACAAGAAAATTCCACGTTAAACATTCTACTTGCTAACTATATTCAACTATGGTGCCTGGTCCTAGTAGTCATCCACAAAGTAAAAAGGCTTATGCCGAGGTTCGGTGATCCCACGCGTTGCTAAATATTCCCTCCGCATCTTGGAAGCATGTATTCGCGACGTCACATTGCGCGCTCCACGCCCTTCTATCTCTCGATCCGAATACGGATGCCCCAGGTCATGTTGGTATGTTGACTTGGTCTGATATCCAATATCCAAGTGCACATTTGGTGCATTGCATGACAATGGAAGCGGCTCTTCTGGCAGCCAGCTGTTGAAGAGTAAGGATATGTACCTGAGATTTTTGAAGCGGTTCCTGGACTCAACCGCGGCAAGAAGCTCCTGCGCCTGTTCATGTATTGCGGCGCTACAGGAATGGATTTTCAGGTATTCCAGGTTCTCAGGAAGGCAGTCAATGATTGTCGGGGCGCCATCAACCCTGAGAGGCACGGGGTGATCCTCATTCTGATTTGACGGTTTCTCTGCGAGCAGCCCGGTAAGGCACTGCATGCCTACCGTGAGCTTCCTCAGTGCGACCATCTTGCGAAGCGGCATTCCCATATATAGAACATTGGGGCTCCGAAGACCCCACCCCTTGTCCCAATCTTCCTCTGTATTGATATAGAGCTCAGTGAGCGAGTCGGCTTGGAGCAGGATGGCATCAAGAATATCGCGGGGCGCCACTGTCTGAACAGTCGATGAGGAGTTGGTGTATGATGTATACTCGAGCTTCCGGAGCGCTTTACAAGCACGTAGCATAGAGGAAAGTGTTATCGGGATAATCGACGAGGACCGTAACGTGATCTCCTCGATCGAGGATGATTTGGGTGGCAGATGCCCAAACTGCTCTCCTGCCCTCTCATTTCCAACTGGGATGTTGCATTCATAGTACCGGAGACGAGGCAGGGTGAAGAGCAATGGCCCTTGCTCATACCACCGAGTATAGCCGTGTTGAATATTATTTGTCTCATGAAAGACGTCTTCGAGATGGGATAGAGGAAGGAGAGGATTCTTACTCCATCCAGGAGCGGAGGTCAAGGAGAGATAGCCTAGGAATCGAAGCAAACGAACAAAATGTCGTGGGTTCTTCGATTCTTCAAAGAGAAGTGTCTGAATGCTAGGACAGATGAGCAAAATGAGGGTGACCTGAGCATCAGTGCATCCCTTTCTAAGATCCGATATCCACTCGATATACCAAGAACCATGATCCTCGTCATAAGGGCTAATTTGACCCAATATGGTATCTATCTGGTTCTGGTAGACAGCGAGCTCAGAATCTGTAATAACAGGGCTCTGCCTATCATTTGCCTTATCGTCGTCACCCTGGCTGCTGGTTGATGTAAAGCCGCCGAGGATGACGGTGTTCACATGTCTGGCGAGCCAAGGCTTCGAAATAAGGAGGTAATGTAAAAACTGTGCATTTTTGACTGGGGAACAGGGACCGCCACCCTTGTAGTGGTGGACCGTATTGCGGAAAACGCTGACGGAAAACGGAAGGGCGATGTCATACAACTGGCGGCAGGCCCGGAGGACAGACTGAATGGACGATCGACCAGAGGGCTCCACCATGTATGAAATGACTTTGGAAAGAATCTCAGGAGGTAGGTCCAGCAGAGAGGTATGGTCCGATCTGTTGTTCGCCATTGTGACCTGCGTATCTCGTTACTCTTTGAGAAAGTAATAGCGTCAACAGGTGTAAAGCGCGTTGTGCGGGCAGACAAGGGCTTCGATGCAATGACCCTGGGGCGTTAATATTTCAGCTGTTGGCTAAGTAGATAATAATAGAACGTCGCGTCTTTTCGTGGTCGCGGGGGTCGTCACTGGGCCGAGAGAAACTGAAAACAGAGTGAGGACGGGAGCGGGGGTTGATGAGATGTCGCAATGCTAAGGAAGAGTTGCGGTGGGCCCTGCGGTGCTTACTATTGATGTCGGGGCCTTCTTGATTGGGACATATGGCACGGTTTCAAAAGGCAGTGCCTTACATCCTTCTGCAACCTGAAGTGCCGTTGCTGCCAACGCTGATTCGACGCCTCACGAGTGCCGATATAAATAACGGCAGTGGAGAATAGAGTTGATCCTTACCCCATGGCTACTTCTTTCTTGAAACGGATCTATTCCGGTGGAGCCGCGAGATGGAGCTGACCGGATGGTTTAAGCATGCCGTAACAGCCGTAAGTTGAGGACTTATTATTAGGACCACGTAATTTCGCGTGCGTCGGTAGTTGTATCCCTGTTCCCCAGGAAGAGGCTGACGCAATACTGAGTGAACACATTCCGGATCTGGTTCGATCTGCACTTCTCCAGGCGCACTGGTTTCAAACATTCAGAGTTGGCGATCTACACACTCGCAAGTTGGGAATGTCCGTTTTCGTTGTCTCAAATTCTAGTATCTCAATATCTGGTATTTGCCAGAATAAGTTTAAAAATTGAACCTTAAGAATTCCCAATAGCCTAACCAGCCGAGTTCGCTGCCTGAATTTTGGTGAGATTCGTGAACGTGGAAGGTGGTCAGAGACAGTGGGCGAACACCTGGCCCGTTGACCAGGGTGGAGGCCCAGCAAGAGGCGTCTTAGTCCAGCATCGTTTGGTTGATTATCCTTGCTCAAACAAAGTGAGTCTGACTGTTTGATCCTTCTCGGCATCTTGGCATGATCTTGCTGCCCCGTCACATCGCTACACATACTACCACGATGTTCTTCGGTACCGAAAAGCTAGGTATAAGAAGGTCTGATTTGTCTCTTTCATCTCGAATGTTTTAACTTCAACCCAAACAATTTGAAAGACAGAGAAGAGTGGTTTTTTGGCTGGCCTTGAAACCCCCTTTTTTATTTTTCTTTCCTTTGTTGTCTTTTCCTATCTTCTTTTTTTTCTTACTTCACATTCCATTCCCAGTTTCTCGCATTTTCTCAACATGGCTTTCTTGAAGAAGGGTTTCCCAACCCATATGCTTTTCCTCATCACTCTCGTGGTGTGCTTTATTGGCAGCGCAACTGCTGATTTAGCCTCCTGGGACGACGTTCTTGATGTTCGTGGTATCGAGGACATTGATTATGACACATTCGACCTGCAGCGTCGAGATGAAGAGAGCTATCTCGAAGTCCGCGGTGGCAACACTCCTCCCGTCTCACCTCTGACCAGCACGCCCCCTGGCAGCCCTCGACCTGTTTCCCCTCTGTCACGACACAGCAGTACCAAGTCAAACGACCGAAAGGACGCTGGCAGTGGTAGCAAGTCATCTGGAGGTCTCCATCGATCCAACGCTGTTAGGCGCAAGAAGAACACAAAGCGATCCAACACTCCTCCTGTTTCGCCCCTGACTAGCACACCTCCCGGCAGCCCTCGACCTGTCTCTCCTCTGTCACGACACAGCAGCACCAAGTCAAATGATCGAAAGGATGCCGGAAGCGGCAGCAAGGCATCTGGAGGTCTTCATCGATCTAATGCTGTTAGACGCAAGAAGACCACGAAGAGGTCCAACACTCCCCCTGTTTCGCCCCTGACCAGCACGCCCCCCGGAAGCCCTCGTCCTGTATCGCCTCTCTCCCGCCACAGCAGCACTAAGTCGAACGACCGAAAGGATGCCGGCAGTGGCAGCAAGTCTGGTGGTGGTGGTCTACACCGATCTAACGCTGTTAGACGCAAGAAGAACACAAAGCGATCAAACACTCCTCCCGTCTCACCCTTGACTAGCACGCCGCCCGGAAGCCCTCGTCCCGTCTCCCCTCTTTCCCGCCACAGCAGCACCAAGTCGAACGATCGAAAGGACGCTGCCAGTGGTAGCAAGTCATCTGGAGGTCTGCACCGATCAAATGCCGTTAGGCGTAAGGGCGGTCGCAACGGTGGAAAATAAGATGTTTCTTGACTTCGGTTTTGATGTTTAGAGTCTCTAAGATATCCTGAATGGGAAGAGTGGAATCCCTCTATAGGGAGGAACAGTCATGTTGATAGATTTTGTGTGTTTAGAATGTGGAGTGGAATGGTCAAATCCCATGACCTCCTTTTTAGCTGTGAATATTACCCCGTTATTAGTGTGCGCACTAATAGCTTTACTTTTTTACCATAACGTTCGCTTTGTCTCCTTTGCATCAGGTATTGTAAGTTGAGGCTTTCTTTGAACTCGCCTCGGGTCACCGCACGGGCTTCTGAAAGCATCTACTTGCTTGACGCCAGTGCCTTCACATTTCGATAAGCAGTCGGCTCGACCTCATGAATCTGCCAGCACGAGCTTTTGTCTACAGATAGATGCTTATGAGATCTTGACCAGTTTGTTCTGCATAAGTCTAGGGGCAGCATCTTTGGAATCCCAGATCTTCCCTCTAAAACGTCTTTTAAATTTGGTCTTGCATGATCTTGGATAATTTGGTTCTACACATTACTAGCTAGCCACCGGCGGTATCGAAGACGGCGATGTAATTCGGAAATTGAGATGATTGCGTGCTTCTACATATCGGAGAGCATGTAGACTGTTATTCAAATCGATTATCTCTGATTAACCGAGTACTTTCACTACTCTAAGAACGACCCCTTCGTTTCTGCCAGAATCGCTTGGTATTCTGGCTGAAATGACATGTACGTGTTCTCGGGCGTGTAGTCGTAGCGCTTGGAGTACTCTGCTTCATCGCGGTGAATGTACTGCTTTGGAATACCATTGGCGGCGGCTGCTTCGATCATGAGCTGACGTTGACATGCCCGCTCTAATGCGATAAATAGCCCTGCAGCTTCCCCGACATTGCTTCCACAGGTCAAGATGCTGGAAATATGGTAAGAGGAGAGCTGGGCATTGAGTGTAGGACAAAGCATGATGTACGTACCCATGGTTCTGAAGAATCAGGTTTTTATTTTTTGGTCCCAGAGCATTGGCCAGATTACGCCCCTCCTCTTTAGCCAGCACAGTTCCGCCGAAGCCTTCATAGACTGAAAGGTCGTTGTAGAAGTAGCACATGTCTGTTTATTTGATGTCAGTGCTTCTCAGGGTTCGAAACTCGGTAGCCTGCAAGCCATACCTTGCACAAGCATCTCTACAGGTCGTCCAAAAGCGGACCATGCAACGCCGTGAGGTGAATGTAAATGGACCGCGACATTGATGTCTTGTCGCATCTCGTGTAGGACAGAGTGGATGATGAAACCTGCATGACTGATGGTGTGAGGTGTTTGCTCCTGGATCTCTCCTTCGGCATTGACCAAGACGAGGTCAGAAACCTTGATCAGGCTGAAGTGCACAGCATACGGATCTACACGATGGTTAGCCAATGGCCTCTCAATGATGTTTCTACAATAACATGACATACTGATCCAAAAGAGCTCAGGATTCACTGGGTCTGCAAGCATGTTTTACTTGATTAGCAAAGATATCACGGCGTGTGGCTGCTGCTTCGATTGCTCACCGCGAAGGCTCATGTGGCCAGCGACGCCATCAGAAAATCCCAGCTTGGCGAAGACCCGGAAGGCCGCCGCCATCTGGCGCTTGGCCCACAGCCTTTCGTCAGCCTTGCTCTCGAATGTGGGCACCTTCTGAACGGTTGGCAGTTTGTACGAGTTGGGCTTCGCTGGCGGGTTGTGTGCGGGTAGAGTCAGTGACGCCTGACCGGCACTGACGGTGGTGGATGTGATTGAGGACATATTCACTTGGTACGGAGTCTGTGAAACAACAATGACCATATACGCGCCTTCTCCTTCTCTTGAATACATTTATTGTCTGAAGATTGATAGTATATGATTGAGCCAAGGGATGCGGTGCGTGTGTGCCTCAGCGGTTCACATCAGATCAGCGAGTTGCCCATATCAGTCCTGGTAGCGGGCGAAGCTCCAGGTCACGAGGTGGTTGTTCGGCGCGAACTTTCTCCTATCTCGCTCGGGTTCGGCACTGGCCATCCTCGATTCGGCACCAGTGAGACGCCAGCATATCTCTTAGCTGGTGGCCTTATTCCACATCCGACGCCGATAAGTCGACACGCTCCACTCCAAACCTGTAAGTTCCACCATCGTACGCCCTGGCATCCATGACGGGTGTACTAAAAGCATCCAGACTTCTCAATGTCCGAGAAAGGTTAATTTGGGCTGTCAACTTGAGTAGAGTGCCCTGACTCGTCTCACCTGTGTGCGACGTACCACAAGTGAAGCGATACGCGATGATAGCCTCGTGGTCTTTGGCCTCGTCAATGGCGACGCTCGAATGGCTGGGTGCACTCTTAGCACTTTATTGGGCTTTGAGCCTCGCATCGAGTCTTATATCGGGATCAAGGAAAAGTGGGTTGTTGATCAAAGAAGCAAAGTCAGCGTTTGCTCAAGAGTCAAGCAACGCATCAAGGGGTATTGATATACACATCGAATATTGACTCTATCAAAGCCAAGTTGCTAACAAGATGAAGGATCAGCAAAGCTCCAACCCGACTTGGAGTCGTTCGACTTCTCGGACATTCAACCGATCGATCAACATTTCGATTGGACCATGGTTCCAGAAAAGCCCTGGCGGCCATGGCACGACGGGCCGTACCATGTGACTATGGGTATGTTAACTCCCTATGTAAATAAGCATAGAAACGGGACCTCACGCGTGTTTAGGAATAAAAAAAACCTGCTCCAATGACTGGGTAGAAATCGATCAGTCGTACATGTCGAAGTATAAGTATAAGCGCCAGCTATTCGCCCAACACCCCAATGACACAATCTGTTCCCGTCCAGGTAGCGAGGAAGCCTCATTCGAAAGCCTCTATGTGCTGGTCGACTTTCTCCCGCGTCGATATCCAACAATGTTTACAAAGACTGAACATGGCATAAAAAACCTCGTCACGAATGACGACTGGAACCTGAATCGAGGGGCAGATACTTGGAAGTTCTACCACCCACTTCAAGTGATGGGCCTCCTGTCGACGGAAGACTGGTTTATCATGAAGACTGATGATGATGGGGAGACCACTAGATTGGTCGCGGGTGCAAATTGCTTCCCAGGTGAGTTAACCTTTTCAAGGAAAGGTTGCCATTACTAGTTGAGCTTCGACATGAATTGACGCAACCATAGCCGGATGGAAGCTTCGAGAAAGAGTTGGTCAGAGCCTCTGGGAGATCCACGCTGGCAAGGTACCCCAGTATGAAGAGAAGCTGGCCAAGTCCATGGACCGATACTTCCTGCGACTGCGAGCGGATCAAGCGTACATGCGCTTCAACTACGCCATCGATCTTAGTTCGGAACTCTTTCACATCGATTCCCATCATAACCTAAACGAGGAGAGTTTGAATCATGCTGTCACTCTGGAGCAGCTGCACCTACGTGTGGAGAGACAAGTCTTGCAGAGGCTTCCAAAGTCTAAGGCAATTGCGTTTTCAATACGTACGTATGTCACACCGATAACAGATGTTTGTAAAGACTTGACTGTGGCTCGAGCCTTGAGAACTAGCGTTAGCAGTTATAGTGAAGATGTGGCCAAGTACAAGAACAAAGCATTGTGGAACGATGTTTTGATGAAGTATCTTGATGACATTCTGGACACGCCGGTGGAAGAATAGGGGCCTTGGAATAGATATATGACACTATGGTATTATGGGAACATTGGTGGTCCTAGTTAATTTGATCAAGGTCGAAGATAGAAAAAAAAGTAGAGAATAAGATAGAGCAAGTATAACACGTTAAATGAAGCTCGCACACAGACAATCTATGTTAGCATAATATACATCCCCTTTTCACGCATGATCTCTCGCCAGTCCACGTGGCTGAGTTCCGAATTCATATGTTGACGATCAGACCCTGCGCCAGTCTGGCGGTCTACACGCCTCCACACTTCCATCACGAGCGCCTTGGCCTTTGCAATATTTCCGATACCATGTCTCCTGGCGCGGGCAAACCAGATCAACGACCTATGACGGAGATCCATATCAATGGCCTCGACGGCAGCGATAAAACCCGGCCATAGAGTGTTGGCAATCGCCATATCGCTGGACATAGCATCGACGTTCTCCAAGTGCTCCAGTGCCATCGATACCAGTTGCTGACCAGTCGGGCGGGAACGCGACCCGTCCTTGTCAGCTGCAAGGCCCTCTATAGGAGGCGTCACTTTCGAGCCACCTTCACATATAGCTCGCCGAAAGAAAATGGTGGCACTACAATGAAATGCCCAGCAGTGGTTCTCTTTTATCTCCCTGCTAACATAGTCCGAGACGCCCTCTTGAGATACATCTCCAAGGACTTCCTGACCGCTGAAAGCATCTGGATCTTCCAAAGTATCAAAGAGCTCTGCTTCGAGTTGTTGCAATGCCACAGCACTCCGCTCTGACCATCCTTTCCCACTCTTCATCGATTCTCTGATGCTGCACAACTCAATAGTCTGACTCAGACAACGTAGAGTCTTCATCGCGATTCCAAACGATACATCGAGTGTATACTGAGGTGCGGACGTGCCCATGAGGAATTCAACGTCAGACGAGCTGTGGCGGACACTGTCCCCGAGTGGCTGAGCACTTCTTGACTCCGGGGTGGCCTGTTCATCATCCTGAACCTGCTCCGACTCATCGTTGTTCGTCCAACCCGATGTGCGAGCAACGAGCTCGAGACATCGGAAGATTTGAAGCAGAGTCATCCGAGTCGAACTAGCTACCCACCAGGTTACTCCACCAGTCAGACGTATGATGTATTTACACAGTGCAATGTTTTCGTAGCCTCTTCCCTCATTCCCGCCGCTAAAGACCTCGACCGTGGTCATAGTCATGGCTGCGGCCAGTAGTGCCTGCCGATCTACGTCATTCTGTAGAAGTGCTTCTCTCTGCGATGCGTCTGCGAGGACGTCCTTGATCATCAAAGCAGCCCTGTCTTTGAGCGTCCGAGCAAGCTGTTGATACTGGCCGCGATCAGCCCGAGACAACTCAGATTTGTTGAAAGCAGCCACGGCGAGGATGGCGTGTAGAAGACATTTCTTGGCTGCCGTCTGTGGTTCCCGAGAGGCCATTGGGAGGTAGAGGCGCAACCAAGGATTCTGCGACGGTGCTATTGTCGGCATCATCAACTTGCAAACGTGGGTTCGATAGTGATTTAATAGATCCGATACCTCTTGAGGGTCGCTATCTGTGGATAAAGCTGGGCTTGTAGGGCGAGGCAGATTAATGTGCCAGGAAGAGGAACTGTTCAACGCAAACGTCTGGGATTCCGATCCCATACCTAGGCTTGGGGGCTTTAACGCTCGAGGAAATGCTGCTGCCGCTGCTGCGATATGTCGCACGGGAGAAGCTCCCTGGCTTTCCCCGGTACATGTATTGTCCGTTTGTGTCAGGGGAAGGATGCTCTCAAGTAAAGAATAGTCGAAAAACATGTCAGGGGGTAATTCCTCATGGGGCCCGGGGAACACTGATTGCCCCTCGGGGTTGGCAAAGCCAAAGGCTGATGATATATCTGCAGCAGACTTGGCTTGAACGGATAATCTTGACAAGTCTCCAGGCGATGCTGGCGCAAAATGGGAATCTACTCCCTGTGGAACGGCGGCAGAGTTTCCAAATTCTTGAAACAAGCCAGCCACTTCAGTCGAATCTGGATCTTGCATGTCTTCGGGATTATCAGAGGCTTTGCGCGAACTGGCTAGGTCGTCTTCCTCGTCGCCCCCATCACTATTTAGATCGCGGGATGGGCGACCTTGATAAGTCTCATCAGAAGATCGTCTGTCATATCCGTCGCACACATAACGCCGCGATCTTTCGCAGTTTGAACAATTCGGGCGCTGCAGGTCACACTTGATCTTCCTGAGCCGACAGGTAGAACACCCCTATATCATGGGCTGCATGACCGAGCCCAGCCACGTCACCTGTGCCAAGCATCATCTGTTGGGGGATTGTTGCTTGACAGAGGGCCGAGTGGCTCAGTCAAGCACGTCGCCCAATCGTCAGCCACAATAGATAATCACGATATTGCCTTGGTTACCCACCGAGTAGATACGCCCACCTCTACGGCGTCTCCTTGGTGCTTGGCGCTGGCTCAGTATCCCAGACATTGTCGCGGGCCAGACGATCTCGGTGTGCGTCAACGGGTGGGTGGTGAAACCGGCGCGAAGTTGTTCGATTAGCGTGTCGACAGCCAGCGGGACCTGGATCTATGTATATTTGCGAAGCCGAGAAGCTTCCGTCAGTTGATCATAAACAAATGCGAGGTCAGGGGAGTGATCGGCGGGGTCGGGGAGCGTTTGTTATCTTCGAAAGACACCAGGTCGGCTTATCTGTGCCAATCCGAAGACGGAGATACTGCACAGTATCATTGATTTCCCCGCAAGTCGAAGCCATCCAGGGACGTCTTATCAAGAGACCAAGTGGGTTGGCTCACTCTCCCCACATTCTCCCCTCCCGGACTTGCGACTCCGGACCCGGTGACAGTTCGCGCCGAGAAGTTTAGTTTGCATGGGTACCAGGGATCAAATTGAAACTCTTTTCCGAACCCAAATCCAATGATGGATTGTCTGATACTGTATGCCAGCTCTTGCAATTTATCCAATCTTCAGGAGCTGTAGACTTGTTTCGCCAGTCATTCCATAACCCATCATGACCTCCAGTTCCAGTTTGGGAAGCTTTAACCTTTTGCCGCTGTCGAACGAGCCTTTTGTAAGTCAAGAGTATTCACATGGTATGTGTGGAATCTGATAATGATGGTTAGATCACCTATGGCCCAGGCTCGGAGGAGCGAGATGCCTTGATATCAGCTCTCGAGCTTATGAAAAATGAAGCCCCTTTTCAGGTTCACCCCAACGTCAACGGCAAGGATGTCAGTGCATATTCAGTCCGTCTTGAGCAGAGTAAGCTATTGCTAACTAATATTCGTACTAGGTCGTCGGCAACTTGACGGAATCGCAGGCTATGCCGTGGGAGAATAGCGTCAACATCGCCGAATACTCGACCGCAGACCAAGCTCTTGTCAAACAAGCAATCGACGGTGCTCTGGCTGCTAAGAAGGAATGGTGTAGGACACCGCTCCATGACCGTGCTGCCATCTTCTATCGTGCAGCAGCTCTCTTGCAAGGTCCATACCGTTACAAGATGATGGCTGCGACCATGCTCGGTCAGGGCAAAAATGCCTATCAAGCTGATATTGACTGCGCTGCCGAGGTGAGATATTGCTGTACTCAACCTAAGTAATTCAACTTGGAACTAATCAGCTCGGGGTAGACCATTGATTTCCTCAAGACGTTTCCGGCTCTCGCGGACCAGCTTTACAAGAACCAGCCTCCAATTAACGCGCCCAACGTGTGGAAGTAAGTGCTAATTAATAGTTACATCGAAGAGTTTTAGTGATATACAAACTGACAATGCACCATTAGTCGTACAGAAGTCCGGCCCTTGGACGGCTTTGTCTACGCAATTAGCCCATTCAACTTCACCGCACTCGCCGCAAACATTGTGCTCGCACCTTTGATTCTGGGCAACGTAGTCATCTGGAAACCAAGTCCTGGAGCCATCTACTCAAGCTGGTTATTCAACCACATCATGATTGAGGCTGGTCTGCCACCAGGTGTACTGCAATTTCTCCCCGGTGACGCTGTTGAAGTGACGGATGAAGTCTTCAATAGTCGGGACATGGGAGCCCTACATTTTACAGGCAGCACTGCGGTCTTCAAGAGCTTGATGGGGCGGATCGGCAGCAAGATGGAGTTTTGGCGTTCGTACCCGCGCATCGTTGGAGAGACAGGTGAGTCTTATGTCTGAAATACGAGTATCGGAGTCGTTTTCTAAGCCCTAGAAATCCAACAGGAGGCAAGAATTTTCATCTTCTTCATCCTACAGCGGATGTTCGCAATGCGGCTCTCAAGAGTGTGAGAGCTGCGTTCGAATATCAAGGGCAGAAGTGTAGTGCCTTATCGCGCATCTATGTTCCAGCGAGCATAGCGGAAAAGTTCAAGGCCATGATTGTGGAAGCAACCGAGGCGTTGACTATGGGCTCGACCTTCACTGATTTCATCGGCCCCGTCATCAGCCGCTCAGCTTATGACCGCGTATCCGGATACATCAAAGAGGCCGAGTCGTCTGTCGATGTCGCGGTTCTTGCCGGAGGTGTTTTCGATGACTCAAAGGGATTCTATATTCGGCCGACAGTGCTTGAAACGAAAGATCCCTTGTCGAAATTCATGACGGAGGAGATATTCGGCCCAGTCGTCTGCATTTACGTTTACGATGATGCTGACTTTGGTCCTAAAATCTTTACCCTCATTGACGAAAGCACGCAGTATGCCCTTTCCGGTGCTGTCTTTGCCAAAAGCCGCACAGCAATTATCGAAGCAACAGAAGAGCTGAGGTTCTCCGCTGGAAACTTCTACATCAAGTATGCCACACATCTGCAACCATTTCTCCTAAATTATTCTAATTCCTTCTAGTGATCAATGTACCGGAGCAATGCCTGGGCAGCAGCCATTTGGTGGTTCACGGTCCAGTGGAACGAATGACAAGGCTGGCACGGCGGGATTGTTGACCAGGTTCATGTCCCAGAGGACTATTAAAGAGGGCTTCTCAACTATTGACAATGTTTTGTATCCATCTAATATGCCATAAGCCAAACGGGTCAAATCATTTATAGAAGAGTCTTGCCAATAAAAACACTTCCACAATAAATATATCTACTGACTACTATAAGTCTTCTAGTGATCCTACATGCAACTACGCACGTTATCTTCATCCTCGTGCTCAAGCGCGATTTACATGGCATCTTTCATGCCTACCAAAATGGCTTGGTCAAGAACTACGACGCTGAGATTCGTTGGTATTGTCAATTAATATGACAGATTCTGTGGTTTATTCGGGGCAAAGGGTTATGGCGATGTAGGTTTTCATAAGATGGTTCGCAATAAATTCGCACAATATATGACTATTATCTAGGCGTAACTCAAGGTCCAAGGGGCGTTGTTGTCTCAGCGTGAAGATTAAATTGAAGCTATTCAGGTCATTCGGCATTACAGCTTAGCCTTTACCTCCTGCGCGCCAATCCTATCGAAGTAATCCTTCAATACTGCGTCAGTCTGGAACTTGGGCCCAGAAAGTCTCTTCTCCGTAGGGGCATAGGCCTCGGGGAACCAAGACGAAATGTCTTCTCCCAGGATCAACTTGCCAAGGGCATCTCCAGATATGAGGCCATTGGTCATGCCATACGTATTCCACCCCGCTGCAATCCACTCACCAGAACCACTACGCCCAGTAGCATCCTGGGGAAGTCTTCCAACGAAGGGCAGCTGGTCACCGGTATAGCACATGATTCCTGTCCATACACCCTTGGCGCTGGCATCATCCTTGATCCACGCATCAGAAAACAGAACCGGAAGAATAGAGCGCAGATTCTTGTCAGCATGGGGATCGATTGTGGAGTCGTCGGCAGAAATGAAGCCATCAATGCTGTCCTTGTCACCGCCAATCCAGAGGTCACCAGTATCGCGGTTCTGGAAGCAATAGTATCGGCCGGTTTCGACGGTCCCCTGTTTCTCATCGTGCTTTGGAGTAAAGTAGAATGACCACGACTGTTTGCCTTTCCTGTCAGGAAACGAGCCTCCAGGAGACTGGACTGACATTGTGCCTCGGCGTGGGTACATCTTTCCTCGGAGACCGGGCAGCAAGTGCGCGGCGTGGCCATTGGTACAGTGAACAACTTCTGATGCGAGGATAGTCCCTCTTGGGGTCTTCACCACATAAGGGTAGTCCTGATTCGAACCCTTCGAGATCGCAGTGACGGGGGTATGAGTTGCAATTGTGAGGCGGTCAGGGTATTTCTCAAGCAGCGCCTTGAACGTGCCAGTCACGAGCTGATATGGCGACACAGTTCCCGCCGGAAATCTCAATCCACCATACGCGCCATTCAGTCCATACTCCTACAAGGCCTGTCAGTGGCGTTTCTCCTGAGAAGAAACAGAAAAGTGTTACTTACGGATGCAGTATCTTCGCGCGAGACCAGACGATACACTCCCCAATCCTCCGGAACCTCCTTCTCATAAAGTCCGATGGCTTCTTTCGTCTCATTCCACGACTGCTCATCGTAGTAGGCGAAGAACTTCTCCAGCCTCGTCTTCAGAGACTTTGCGACAAGTTCAGGGCCCTGTTGCTCGGCGAGATTGTGCATCTCATCAAGGCCCTTCACAGTCAAACGCATAACCTTGGCCGCTTGCTCCGGGCCGAATTCGTCCCTCATGAAGGTATACCTAGTCGGCGGCAGTCTTGTCAACTGGCCGCCATTTCGGCCTGTTGCGCCGCTGCATAGGCCTCTTGCTTCAACAACGGCGACTGTCTTTGAGCCAGAGGCCGCATTAGACAGAAGGCTTCGGGTGACACCGCAGGCAGCGACTCCAGAGCCGATGACAAGGAAATCGACCTTTTCTGGCAACGGCGTCGATTGAAGTTTGTTGGTGAACGGATTTGGAGGCTCTTGCCACAAGGACGCAGTCGGGTTCGGCCTGGGCAAATCCGGATCGCTAAGAATCTGGCGACGGATCGTGGCCGGTAAGTCCTTTCCAGAGGGCGTCATGACGAGTTCTAGTTCAGTGAGTGGAAAGCTTTCAAGAAGTCGGACAGTTTACTGAAGCTGCGAGGTGAATTGTTGGAATCTGAGAAGCTCTATCTGGTAGACAAGTGATCCCGGTACGCTGCACCGGATGTGATAACAGACGTTGACGCACTGACACAGTACATCAGACTAGCTTGTATCCAGAGTCTGTCCTTTTAAGAAGTGCATGATTCAGGCTATAGGCCTCAGGTAGCCGCTCATTGTGAACGAGTCAAGCAGCGATAACGGAAGAAAGGCGGATAACCGGCGCTGGTTGACCACTCGGCGGACCCGCCGAGCATGGAATAATTCGATGCTGCGCAGGTTCGCCTTAGTGATTAACGAATCGCCCTTCTTTTTCGGCCTGTATCTACGTTATCAGAGTTCGCGCCGAGGCTGTGGGGCCATAGAGTTCGCTCCGAACAAGCAAATCCTGGAAGACAGGGAATCTATGGATCAGTCGGTCTTTGTTCCTTGGTTCATCATCTGGGGAAATGGATCCAGGTCACCTGCTCTCTTCTGCATGGCGAACTGCCCCGAAAAATAGCTGTGCAGTTGGCGATACCGATCCCCCGGCTATCAGGGATATCAACAAGCGTGGCCTAGACCACGGGATCAACTTTGACTTATCAAAATCCAAAGATATGTAATCTAGACTTGATTCTAATCCCATCATCCTTGAATTAAAATCACGATCATAATACTTAACGCCCCTTGTCCTTTCGCAGAAGTCCCATTCTTCTGATACAGATACTCTCCGACTTGTTGAGTATTCCCATCATCTTCATCTAGGCCACAGCAAAACTTGTCCAATAGCTTCTTAACACAAATCGCACTTATGGCATCTGAAGTTAAGTCCGACATTATGGACGCAAAGGCCAAAGGCACTTCGTCGATTGTGGACGAAGGCGCAGTGCCCTCTGTCGACATTGAGCGTACTGCGTCTCTGCCAACCTACATACCTGGGTCTGCATTGGAGAAGCGTCTAGTGCGAAAGCTTGACTTTATTCTGCTACCTATGCTCTGGTGGATGTATATTCTGGCCTACGTTGACCGAGGCAATGTGGTGAGTAACTCGATGAACCACCCCTCAAGATAGGAGTTTCAAAAGTGCGTCTGACGCTTTCTAGGCGAATGCGAATGCTGCTGGCTTGAGCACAGATCTAGATCTTAGTGAGGGGGATTACACGCTCGTCGTCTCAATCTTCTTCATCGGCTACACTATCTTCGAAGTCCCATCCAACCTTCTACTCAACAAGTTCAGGCCCTCGCGGTACCTCTCTACCATCGTTATAGTCTGGGGCGTGTGTGTCGCGGCCATGTCTCAATGCAAGAACCGAACCGAGTTTCTCGTCGGCCGATTCTTCCTCGGCTGCATCGAAGCTGGCCTCTTCCCAGGCGCGTTGTACTTGTTGACCTGCTGGTACACCAAGGCCGAGATTGGTAAGGCTTTTTGTCTCCTAATGACGGTGCACCTGATTGATATGTAAATAGGCAAAAGGTTTGCAATTTTCTATACTTCCGGAACTATCGCACCGGCTCTGGGAGGTATCATGGCTGGAGCAATCATCTCGTCATTGGAGGGGAAGTTGGGGTGGGAGGGATGGTGAGTCTTCAACAAATGCTCACACACTTTCGCGGGTAGGAGATACTAACTAGGAGTAATAGGAGATGGCTATTTCTTATTGAAGGAGTAGTTACAGTTTTCTTTGGGTTTCTCTTCTACTTCATCCTCATCGAGTACCCGATCAACACCACCAAGTTCTTCACCAAAGAGGAATGCGACCTGGCCTATAACCGCAACCTCCACGACCGACAGATTTCAGTTGAGCATAGCAAGCTTCGCATGACACCCTGGCAATCTGTGAAGGCTGTTCTCGCTGACCCACGGTCTTGGGGATTCCTGTGTCTTTACATCATCGATTCCACGTGCACGTCCATCTCTTACTTCATTCCTGTCACTCTCAAGGCTATGGGGTACACTTCAATCACAGCCCAGTGGATGACTGTTCCGATCTGGGTTTCTGGAGCCGTCATCATGGTAATTGTCTGCACCTCATCAGACTATCTGCGAAACAGAAATTGTCATATTTTCGGATGCTTGATTGTTGGCCTTGTCTGTAGCATCGTCTGTGTGACAACAACAGACCCGAAGCCTCGCTATGCTATGCTTTGCTTCTACATTGGAGGCATATACGCTGCCGTTGCCCTGATCTTGAACTGGACTTCTGAAGAAATGGCTCTTCCGGATCAGAAACGCTCTGTTGCACTGGCATTTGTCAACTCATGGGGCAACTTGTCCATCATTTGGGGTAGCAGGCTCTGGAAGACCGCCGAGAACCCCGTGTACACCACGGGTTTTACCACCACCGCGTCTCTGGCAGCTCTGGGAGCCATTCTTGCTGCAGCCCTGCAGTTCGCATTCAAGTATCTCCCAAAGGAGCCCATGACCAAAGCTGAGAGAGAGCTGCTAGCGGCCCAGCAGGGGCAGCAGCGAGGACAGGAGGATTGAGAGATTGATTGGAGGTCGCGACCCAGAGAAGGGGTGGGTAGATGGGGATGTAAAGCACGTCAATTCGGCAATGGAGGGACTTTAATTATTTGTATTCATATCTCCCCATCTAGTTCACAATAGCAAAATCACGCGTTGTTAGTGCTTGGTATCCTTCATTCTCGCGCAACGTCAATATTATGGATAATCGACAAGTTCTAACACAAAAGGAGATATTGTGCTCTACTAGTTCTTCCAGCAAGGATGTCCTCAGGTTCTGTGAGACCAGAAGTGGAGGTAGAAATTGAACGGAAAGAAAAGGGTTGTCATTTGTTGTTGAAATTTGGATCACTTTTCAGGAACTCGGCTATTGATATCGACACGGCACTTGTTGACCATAGTGGATTCTAGTGGAGCTTCCCTTTATAGTCTCTTCCTTACTCGAAGATTATGAAAACCCTTAGATGACTCTGAACTCCCTTGGTTCTTCCTGATGTGTCTGATTCGTCCACTGGTGCAAGAACTCACAAGGGCTTGTGGGCTCACATGGATTGGAGCACAGTATTGGTCACTGGCAAACTGCAGTGGACCATGGTCAATTAATTGAGATGTCGCTATCAAACTGCCCCCTCATAGACAATCGGCACGAGGATGAGATCTTTGACTAAGCCCAGGCAGTTCGGCGCGAGTTTGGGTGCGGGGAAACTCTTACTTTGATCCTTGTGTGGATAAGAGAAGATTCGACAACGCAAAGAAAAGTAAAGTCACTGGCTGGCAGGAAGATAGGTAGATATGGCTTGACAACGAATTTCATCTTCAGTCTCATGGAAGATATCACATTTACCCACCCTGTGCAGCAAGTCTCACATCGTGTCGTCGGAATTGTGCGCATTGATTCAACATAATCTCCACAAATTATCAGTCAGCCGAGAGAGCGGTGTTCGGCGCGAAGCTACTCACTCAAACAGGATGATATGATTTAATTTGGTTTGATAGTAGGTTAGTTTGAATTCGGAAGAATTATCCATGGATGGATATACCTGGCCTCCGACATCCTACACACGCAGTCGGACTCCAAGTACGCAATAGCCCATTGTGTAAGCCCCCCAGCGTCGGCCTTGTTTCACTTGCAACACCACTGGCGAAGGCTATTCGACAAGTTCAGTCTTGTAGACCTTTTCATCGCCTATACCGTCACAATGTCAGCTGTGACAACCCCCCCATCCGCAGTATTCCATAGATCCTTGGGCAAGGCTTATCCAACCGCGGTCAGTGGACAGGGTATATACTTGAAGACAAAGGATGGCAAACTCGTGATTGATGGGAGCAGCGGGGCAGCCGTCTCATGTCTCGGCCATGGGCATCCTGTCGTTATTAAAGCTATTGTCGAACAGGCGCAGCGAATGGCATTTGCCCACACATCATTCTTCACCAGCGACCCCGCCGAGGAACTCGCAGAGCTTCTTCTAAACCAAAGCGCAGGAGCTTTTAATAATGTGATGTTTCTGAGCTCCGGTAAGGGCATGGTTTCACCATACTAGCTTACCATGGTGTCAGGTTAACCATTATACAGGCTCCGAAGCTGTCGAGTCTGCCATCAAACTGGCAAGGCAGCACCATGTATCCAACGGCGAGCCCGAACGCATAAACTTCATCAGCCGCAGATATTCTTACCATGGAAATACCCTGGGCTGTCTTTCTGCCGGATTCAACCCCCCTCGTCGAGAGCAATTTGCCCCCCTGCTATCCCAAGCATTCCACCATGTATCTCCGTGCTTTTTCAGCCGAGATTCATCGCCTGGAGAGGCAGAGTCCGCATACGTAGATCGCCTTCTTCAAGAGTATGAGCAAAAGATTCAAGCTCTTGGCCCAAAGACAATTGCGGGTCTCATCGTTGAGCCTATCGGTGGTGCAACCCTAGGAAGTTTCCCTTCAGCGGAAGGTTATCTGGCCGGGCTTAGGCAACTGTGTGACAAGTACGGCGCCCTCCTCCTCTTCGACGAGGTCATGTGCGGCATGGGCCGAGCTGGTACACTTCATGCCTGGCAGTCTCTGGGGAATGTAGCTCCTGACCTGCAAACCATCGGCAAGGGTCTAGGGGCGGGATATCAGCCCATATCTGCGATTTTGGTTGGTCGCAAGGTGTACGATTCCATCAAAGCATCGCAGGACGTTCTCCCTTTTGTGAGTGGCCACACCTACCAGGGGCACTCGATTGGCTGCGCTGCCGCTCTGGCGGTTCAAAAAGTCATTGTCGAGCAGGGTCTTCTTGCAAATGTTGAAGCTATGGGAAAGTGTTTGAGAAATCAGCTTGAGGCCTCGACACCCCACTTGAAGGAGGTCCGTGGCCTTGGGTTATTCTTGACCGCCGAGTTCAAGGCCATAGCAGGCAGCCCTATCGCTTCGCGAGTTGCTGCGAAGTGTCTAAATAATGGAGCAGCGGTGTATCTGTGCTCTTCAGCGGTGGACGCTGTTATGTTCGCCCCGCCTTTCATTATCACGGAGGAGGAGGTGGGCAAGCTGGTCGAGATTTTTGTCCTATCCGTGAATGAGGTTTTGCTTGAAAGTGCATCGACAACATAGAAGCTTTATGAGACAGGGGAGAAGATCAATTTTGATACAGAAGTAGGCAGCTTGCCGTAAAATATGCCCCTGATCTATGCATGACACTGAGAAACAATATAGAGTGCTCCTTTGAGTTGTGAATAAGGGAAAACATACAATGCTGAAGACATACCACCATCCAAGTATTGGAAATTCAACCATCCAGATATACCTGGGTGGCCTTAGCCGCTCTCCAACAGCCTTCCATGTACTCTCGAATACCCATGGGGTTTATATCAGGGCAGAGCCTGTTCACGATAGGCTCTAGTATGCCCTCATCCTGCGCGTCTCGTCCAAAAGCTAGCCTGAACTCCGTGAAAAGCTGACCTAAAAAGTCACTATCAGGGCCCTTCGCGTTTTTTTTTTTATTGCGCATACCTACTGTATATTCGTGTATATGAAACAGCACAGCAACCAACCACTCGAGTGTCGCTATAATGACTTTTAACGCAAAACTGTTCGTTACCGCCGTTATAACGTTTGGTCGAACAAGCCAGGTCGTTCCAGATGCCGCTCGTTATGACTTTGATCTGGAACAGTGTCCTAGGGATCCAATTTTCGTCCCAGAACATGTCCGGATGCCGGACTTTATAAAGATCATGTGCTTCGCTTAAAAGGCAAATGAATTTCTCTAGCTGATTCAGTATCAAAGCAACTGATGATATATTATTATGCCTTGGAAGCCTTAATGTATCTCGAGAAATATCCGCTTGAGGGCAATATATAGCAGGAGTCAAGATGGCCTAGGAGGCATTGATAACGCTAAGCTAATATCAGGTTTGGAAATCTTTATATAAGGCTCTCTATAGGCTACTTAGAAACTAATAGAGCATATAATCATTCTTTCGGTCCTGAAACCAAGACTCTCGAGTAAGTTTCTACGGCTGCATTGCTGGACTGAACTATAAGTTGCTAACTAAATTTCAGGATAAACGTAACAAGAGAATTCGTAAAGTCCAAGTGAGTATTTTAGGAGATGCTTAAGTTATTAGTAAGCATAATAAGCTTAGAAACTAAATATAATTATCAGTCTAAAATAGTTAAATAATAATAATATATATATATAATATCGTAAGTTAATATTTTGGTATACTTATATAAATCAGATCATGGTATCAAGATTACTGCCCACTTCTACCGAGAACGCTTTTAAGCGAGCCCTCCCTAACTGATTCGCCATGATAAGACTAATTACTTAGGTAAGTGCAAGGGGAAACTTCTCTATCCCCGTTAGTATCCATGTCATGTACGACTGACATGAGTGCGATCCTTGCATACGCGACCCTTGCATGAGTGTCAGCTCTCTTGAGAAGAATTATGCCAAGGAACCAGGCAGAGATAGAGCTTGCAAACAGCGCTTTCCATTTAGCAGTTTATTAACTATATGAATCGGAGGCAAAGTCGGACTCTGGCATCTTTCATGGTTGTTTAACTTTTATATTCTCAAACTCTGACAGGTAGGGGGAGGCTAGGCAACCCGACTGTCCGAGCCCAACGTCACATCCCTCGCTTATGAATACAGTCTATCAGGCATATCTCCGGTCAAAATTAAGAAGGAAGTACTAAGGCCAACTTCTAGATTAAGTAGAAGGGACGCTGATGCTACCCTTCGAGGTGGTATTACTGATCAGCGGCTTCGGTAGATGGATGGCCGGAGAGGACGTCCCGTCCTTCTCATTCAGGCCATATTTCACCCTTTTTGCAGAAGATTTTTAATCGCAGGAGCCACGTAGCTATATAAAGGAGGGCGTAGAAACGATATAATTCTCGAGGAACCTTATCGACACATCTCATGGAAATTTTGATTAACCATCCATCATCATGGCTAAGATGAGCACCATCTTGAAATTTACCTTCGTAGCGTCGCTTGCACAGGCACATTGTATGCTCTTCTGCCTCACTGCTCATTTGATCGGAAACTGATCCAAGTGACAGTTACCTTTGTGCGTCTGGCCCATAATGGCGAATGGCAGGCTCCGACCCAATTCATTCGGTTAGTAGCTTGAAAAAGAGCTAATTTTTGCTCTCGAATGCCATCTTCTGACATAAGAAAGGAACAAAACCGAGCCTTTTGAGGAGCGGTCTACCCCCAACACAAACAATAATGAACGCCTCTATAACTTCCCGACATTCGTTTCCGACTACCCAGAATCAGTTCGTGTAAGTTACTTGAAGCTCAAACTCAGCCCTTGCATATTTGGATCTCACCCGATTACACTACGCGTTTGTGTCTGACATTGCCGAGTAGTGTGGACGCGACAACATGGCGCATGCAGCTAACACCGAGGTTCTTCGTGTGAAAGCCGGTGATACCATCGAGATTGCTCATACTCGAATTTCTCCGTCGGACTGGGCAGACAACCAGTGGTATGACTGTCCAAATGGCCGTGGAAGCTGCGATCCCAATGATCCTGACGTGAGTGATACCAATAATTCATGTGAGGTTGAGCTGTTTCTTATTAAGCACACTATCTAGTGGACTATGGATTTCAACCATCCCGGGCCTTTGTTGGCGCATCTCTCCAAGGCTCCTGATGGAACAGACGTCCGTGAGTATGATGGCTCTGGCGAGTGGGTTAAGATATACTCGTTGGGCTTCGACATGAATGAAGACGGTTCCATCCACTGGCTAGCTTATAACTATGAGAAATTGCCGGCGCGAGTAAGATTGTCATCTCGCATCTAGCGTTTATCCTGTTCAGACAAAACTGACTTTGCACACAAGTTTATTTTTGATATCCCCAAACAGACACCAGCAGGCGAATACCTTTTGCGTCTCGACCTGATCTGGCCTGGACTGTGGGAGCCACCAATCTATGTCTCAGACACACCCCAAATATACGCCACATGCGCTCAGATCTTGGTAGAAAGCGATGCCACTGGTCCGCTCCCAGAAGGCATCGAGATCCCAGCAGATCTCAACACTACAACACCTGGTAAGCCCCATGGCCATGAAGATCTCAAAGTTATACAAAGTGCAGAACGCTCGCTGATATACGACACACAGGAATGCGAACCTCGCTCAGTATGTACAGAGGAGAAAGTATGGATGATGGGTATACATACCCTGGTGGCCTACTTTGGACTGGGGAAGAACTCGTTGAGGATAAGCCCATCCTGTGAAATTTCATGCTGGCGATGACCACGTTGCTTGTATTCTCGAGATGTATTTCTAGTATAGGTACTAGGATGATTGTAGCCTCTATATGGAAGCTCGGGAGTAGCAGTGTCGTGGTTCAGTTACCTTCGGAAGCCTCAATAAGAGAGTGGATATTACCTGCTATACATATTTCATCTTCCCCAGATACTTATTTTTCATTAAACGCCATTTCAGGGTGATATTTAAATATAAGACATAATTAAGCTCACATAGTCAAAGCTTTTGCCGTCTCTGGCAACCCCGTGCCTGTGAGACGTTTGAAATCCTTCGATACAAATTCCCAAATCCTGCTTTGGGTACCGTTGCTCCTAAGCTGAGATACCATCTCAACGGCTTTAGCTGGCAGCGGGCGAACATAGTGATCCATCGAGTACGCTCCACTGCCTGTCTCTCCATCGGTGCCAATCACCGGTCCTTCATCCTCAGGAACAAGAACACCTGCGACTTCTACACTACCTTGAGCAGGTTTAAAAAAAGCACTCGTAGCAAGGAACAGGTGTCTCTCTCCGCATTCGTTAGGGGGTACCTGCAAAAAAGGTTCGAATAGATATCGCGATATCAGGATAATCAGCTTTAGCGAGAAGCCTTCAGCGTCACGATTGATCCCACCCTTCACGATCCCGGGCAATGAGTGGATGAAGCTGACGGTCGGGGCAAGTCGTGAAAATTCTTCCAGAAGTAATGTCTGGATAGAAGACAACTGGTCCCGCCATTTAGTCAAAGGGAACCCCTCCCCAAAAAAGTTGCTCATATCCACCGGCCCCTCGACTGTTGCCGCTCCAACGCTGACCACTCGGCGTAAGGTGTCGGCTTGCTGAATCAGAGGAAGCAAGTTTGCGATGAAGCGAGTTCGTGAATGCGTGGCAAGAGATGCGGCCAGAGGCAAGCCATCAGGTGATTCTAGGCATGATCAGAATACCAGCTTGAAGTGAAACTTGGAAAGGTATCTTACTTTTATTGAACCCCATACTACCTTGCGATAAAAAGAGGAGGTTGATTGCAGTTTCTTTATTCTTGATTTTATCGCAGACGCTGTCAACACCCCGTAAAGCACTTACATCCGCTTGGATGAATTGAAACGTACTTCCGGAGCTGACACGACTGCATTCTTGGATGATCCGATCAGCAGACTCTTGAGAGCGCCCGACAATATACACCCGAGAATTGATAGAGTATTTCGCAAAGGCTTTGACTGTATACTCGCCGACGCCACTGGTCCCTCCAACGAAAACAGCGACTAATCCATGAGGGAACGTGGCAGATATTTGGCTGTTGGAAGAGGTAACACTCGTAAGAAGGGACATTGTGAGATGAGGAGTGGAAGAGCTAGAAAGACTTGCTTCTAAAGAGAGATCAGACTTGAGAGAGCGAGGAAGAACGTGGATTTTATATGTCTATGGTATTATCTAGAAAGGTTGACTGCGATGGTTTCGGTGATACGGTTATAAATCCGGGCTACTTACTCTAGAGATGTTTCTTTGCCTATTTCAGCGATACGAGCCGCATATGGTGGTAACTAGTTGTTGGGTCATGCATAATGGTGTATGAGATTTGTCGTATCATTGCCGTTCTGTTACCCTCCTTCTTGATAGTCCTGGCGCGGTTGTGGGAATCTTATACATTAATGAGCCAAAACACTACTGCCATACTGATATTTCTATACTAGAAGCTATCTGAGTTGATTATTAACTGAGTCAGATGAATCTTCAACCATTTCTCAGATCTGCTGGCATGACCATGGGCCCACCAGTACTCGCTCGAACAAAGTAGAATCCTTGTAGCGCGATAGAAGTGGTACAAAACAAGCAGAGCATGCGGATCGCCTTGCTGGACCATCGAAGCGAACGCCCCGTGACATGATACTGGAAACATAAAAATACACCTTGCTAGATCTGGAAGTAGAGAATCTCCATCTAGGTCTAGCTGTGGCTGCCCCGATTCCGGTAAAAATGCCAGAATAAGGCACAGTCGACCGATCGCCGGCACATAACCATCTTCTATCAGACAGGAGGAATCATGAACATGGTGCTGCCATAGATCCAGCGCGGCATCAGACTGGCTTCTTTCAAAAGACGGCAGCGAGGCAAGTGTGCCTAGACTAAGTGGCCGGGAGTAGGAAAAGAAATCTTGAAACTTGGCTAGTGAATGCCTACTTATTTGCGCGGCTACCGCCAACTTTCTCATAGGAGGATGCTGTAGATGCGGGAGGAATATCGACGGCGATGGTTGGGAAATAAGGGGAACACTGGCTAGAAAGGTCTTTTTCAAGCTTGAACTGATCGAAAAAACACTGTCTTTTGGAATATCATATGCTGATGATACAGTACTGTCATTAGATGAAAGAGGCCCTGGTTGGGACCATACTTCATAGAGAAGCAATAGTGTGGTTGCAATGAAGGCGTCGATATGAGTTGAAGTGAAATTCGTCGATAGCTGATGTTGAAAGAGCGACAATGCTCGGCATAAATGCTGAGCCGCCGTCGCCGAGTGCTCAATGCTACCAGACTGTAGTAAGGAAAGATGCCGAGCAGCCACGCAGAGGATGGTATGCATCAAATACTCAAAATGAAAGGAAAGCTGCAGAACTTTGTTCCACACATCAGGGTCGATGAGAAGCGTTTTGTGAGTAGATGACTCGAAATGGTGAAATAATTTCATGTGGTGCAAGTTCACCATGGTATTTTCGGAGACTGAATATGGCAAAGTCTGCGAGAGTGCCGGACAGGATCTTCCATTGCCATTTAAAGGTGCAGAAGTTATACAAGCGTCGCCCCTTCTAGTGCAGTTCTCACAAGGATTGTCTTCATTGCACTATTCCCCGGCACGGTTAGATGAGGGCGTGATCATGGAGTCGCTGCGTTGACCAAGAACTGGCCGAAGGTTTGTAGAACCTACCTTTACCCGCCGCCTCCTGCAGTTCTCACACCCTCTTCTAGATTTATTATGTACGCGGCGCTTTCTCGAGACATTGAGAGCTAGAGCTTTGGGAATTTCGGAGAGTGTCCGCTCCGTATCTGTCAGGACAAAAGTGTGGGTAAAGTCCGTGAACATTGAGCTTTGCCTCTCGTCATTGGCATCAAAGACTTGGAAGGATGACATGGCATGCTACCAATAGATCAAATACGGTCCGTATTGATGGTTTGGGACTTCGGAGTAGTAAGTTTCTGCTATTAAACTTGGGGGAATGTTAACTCCGTTGCGTAAACCCGAGATAGATGATGATGTGCACCTAAGCCCATTAGAACGATACGAGACCAAAGAGGAAAAGTAACATGGAAGCTGCACACAAGTATCCACTGAACGGGTCCAATGATATTCATGCAACAAGTGGCAAGCTCTTGTTTCTACATTCTCTGAAATGTGCGAAGTTTGCGAAAAGATAAGATCCAAATTGAGGCTCCGCTGGGTAGCTCTACCGTGGCGTGGGTCAAGATCCTTGGTGGATGACACTTATTCAACATTATCAGCTCCTCAAATAGAATTGGGCTGTCTCAATCTCCAAATAAGCTGAAAAGTTTTGTTCTTGTGACACATTGTGCTATTGACTACTCTAGCCATTTCACTATCTACACCTGATCTTGTTGCTTGTGTTTGTATCTGCGCCTTGATCTACTCGTCATCGTTGATGTCGACAACGGTCTTTGTCCATTGGCGAGCAGGAACCTTGCGCTTGAAGAGAATGTCAATCTCACGGTAGGACCTGTCCTTCATCTCAGGGAGGAAGAAGTACGCCATAACAAAGCAGAAGAAGCCAGTTCCACCCCAGACGTATCCGCACTTGCCGCCAAGATTTGCGCCCTATACAATGTCAGCTTTTGTCACTAGAAAAGGAGCTCAAAGGCATCTTACAGTTGTGGGGTTGAGCATCCAACTAGAGAGGAAGATACAAGGAATGTTCACGGCGTAGTAGGCACCACGTCCGATACCGGTGGTCAAAGGTCTAAGACGAACGGCCGATGTCTCTCCAATAATGACCCAAGAGGCAGGAGCAGGTCCCAAGGTGAACAAGACTGAGACGATGAGACCCAATGAGGCTTGTGCCAGAGAAGCAGCTTTCGACAGGCCGACAGACCCAGCAACACCGAGAGCGATCAAGAAGAGGACATTGATACCAGAGCCCCAGACGTAGATGGTACGTCGACCAAGGTACGTTGTGAGGATCCACGAAAGCATGACGAAAATCATCTGGAGCGCCGAGGTGATGAGGCCCAGGGCGAATGCGGTCTTGGTGTCCATGCCAGCCTCTGTAATTTTGTCAGCGCATGCACTTGCCTATATAATAACAATGACGATGGGACTTACGCTCGAAGAAGTAGACGGCCTGGTTGGCGATGAGGTTGCCAGTAAGATTCTGTGCCGCGTACACACCGCAGACAATCAAGGTACGGTAGAGGTCAGTGCCCCTGAACAGCTCCAGATAGTTGGGCTCCTTTTCGGTCTTCTCGAGCTCGATGGTACGACGAATCATGGCGACGCTTTCGGCAGCATTGAGCAAATCTCTGCGTCCCAGGCGGCTGACGGCCTTTGCGGCGTCTTCGAGACGTCCCTTTCGGACCAGCCACCAAGGCGACTCGGGTGCAATGAAGAGGAGGATGGCGAGCGGTGTAGGGAACATCCATTGAAGGGCAATGGGGATTCTAATCACATTTCGTCAGTAAGAGCGCTGGTTTATTGACGCGGCAATGTACACACCTGTATGAGTTTTCGTGATCCATGGCACTGTAGTGGTAGGTGACACCACCAACAATAATGCTTCCAATGGCCCAGAACATCTGCAGCATCTGGGTAGCAGGGGCTCGCAGTCTCAAAGGCACGATTTCACTGCAGTACGCCGGTGCATTGGCGATGAAGATGCCCCACGGCACGCCCTCGAGAAGTTGAGCACCGAACATGACAGCGAGAGAGTTGGCAAAGTAGAAGACAAAGATGAAGGCATTCAGAGCCATGAGACCAGTGATGGTCGCCCAGCGATATCCGATTTTGCTGGTGAGGGGCCCAGCAAGACACACGCCGATGATGGCACCGATTGGTCCACCCATCTGAAGTGCCGACTGCCAAGATGTAACCACCACCCACTGACCCGACGGTTCGTCGAAAAGGCCGTAGTCCTCCTTGAACCGGGGCAGGGCAAGGAAACTGCCCATGAGGAAAACGCAGTAGGACTCCATGATCTAAAGGGAGTCAATTAGTTCTCTGGATAGTCATTGCGTACGCAGCAGGCAAACCTACAATGGTGCAAGACATGATGAATGCCCACAGCGTAGCCATGGGATACAACCGGACTGCCTCGAGCACTCCCATTGCGTGCTCGGCATTCTCGGCCTCGATGGCGCCCGCCCGGTCGACGGTTCCCTTCTCATCGTAGTTGGAGGCGTGATCCGGAGGAGGGATGGCCTCCTCGATCTTGACGTCCGATTTGGTCATGGTGACTTGTTCTGCCCGAGTAAACAAAGTTTGGCTTGAAGGGAGAGGACAGGGAAAACAGAGACAGAGGGTTCCATGGCGAGGGAGGATTGGCACTTTTTGTAGGGTCTTGGATGTGCGCTTAACGGTCTGCCGCATACCCGACGCATCGGACACATGTACGGAGCAAGACATGGCCAATCTGCGCGCTGGCAGCACTAGGCTCCGCGTTTCAAGGGCATCTCGACACACCCAGACGTTCTGCCTGCCTCGTGCTAGCTATACGCACCAATAGCGGCCGGGGAGGCAGTCAGAAACAAGGGGGACGACGGTCCACTTCAGGCCGCCCTCGCGCTCTAGAAGGGAATTCTCCCGTCCATTCAGGCGCCAGAGGGTCGCATGTCACGTTGGGTTACATCGAGAGTCCGGGGTGTCCTTCCCCCGAATTCTCCAGCTTCTCCAAACTCTCGAGCTGTCTCCGCGCCTGATGTTCGCGGAAGCGATACACCGAAGGGTGGAGACGCGGGGATTAGGTCCTTCCTCTTTGGCCTCTGATTGGGATTGCGATCCTGGCACGGCGCTTCTCCGGTCTTAAAAAGTCGACCAAGTATGTCGACCGTTCTTGTTGAGTGCATCGAGCTGACGGAAGCGGCGACAGAGGGGGCACACAACAATGTAATGTCGAGCTTTGAGGGGCAATTCGCCGTAACCAGCGGGAGCAGTGATGTAACGAGCCGCTTATTCATTCTCCTCGCCACGCAGTACGACTCGGTTTTATTATCAAGCCGCGGATGGATCAGCCGAGCGGTAAAGGGGGGCCACAAACCGCCAACTCGACGCCTTCCTGCCGCCAACAAGGACTGTCCATCTTCCATGAAGTGACAGACGCGATCAATAGCTTCCTTCCCAGGCGGATGAAGGATATACGTGCCAATAGCATGGTAGCATCATCTGAACTTTAGAGAGCAGACACATACGTGCCAATAACAGCCCGGCTGCTGGGCCGGCTAGCGCAAGTCACAACAGGGGACGGTAAAACAGCCGAATTTGGTTGCCATGAACGACCTGTGTCAGGGCGTCGGCGGCTCGCTATAGGTGCGCCTATCACGAGGGGACATGGTCTGGTCGTATTCACGATCTCGCCCGCGCGCGGAGGCAGATTGCTAGCTCCAACAAATTGGCTGTTGAAGCATTTGAGATGAAGTCCACCTGAGGCCCGCAGGAACCACACGTGCGCTATGCATCTTGGCGATGGACCGCCAGATCGAGCTTCTAGAATATGAGTCGTGGTCACAAACTGCCCAGCTGACCCTAAGTATTGATTGACATCGTTCGCCGACAAAAACAGGTGACTCACTTGGCTCTGTGCTACTGGCCGCTGCTGGAGGCCGCCCTTCATTTGCTACCCTATAGCTCCAAAAGCAAGACAGCGTGATTACGATCTGCATCTGGAGGTGATCAATCACATAATAGAAGAGATCATATAGAAGCATCGCGTTGCATTTTAAGGCAATGTAACATTCATGACGATTAGATCTTATCAATCAGAGCACGTCTGCAGTGGTTTATAATCATGGCAGTTTGGTTGTATTGGTGGCATTCAGGACGCTTTGCAGCTCCGAAGCTTGTCCCACCCATGCCTTAGTTAAACATGATCATTATTTTTAATATGGGTGAAATCAGATTTATCTAACTTTACAGAACTTCGTTTCAGATTAAAATAAATATGGACACGTTTTTCTCTCGTGACTGTAAACCGCAATTCACTTTGCTAGCTTTAGGGTAGATATTCAACAGTTAGTTTTCCCCATCTTTGGTGAGCCAACCATATGCCATGCCTCGGTCTACGTTTTATTTTAAACACATTCGCTTTACAAAACCTATATAATTAGAAAGCCTTCATTCTTTCCATATGTCTATGATGCTACCCATTTGCAGTCTGATCTATTCTCAAGTTCAACTCCGCACTGTGTCTTCTTATGAACATGGGACTCTCATTTCGATGATCTTTTAATTTGTTCACGGCGCTTAAATGTTATTTGCGAGCGCCTCGATAGGCTTAAAGAAAATTAATCGAAACCGGAGCTTGAATAAAAAAAAAGACAGGCAGCCTTTAGCTAGTTGATGGGACAGTCGTCTGAGTATAAGCGCTCATTATCTGGATTGACGAACCTATACGGCATCCGCTGGCATTTCATGCCTGCTTTGGCAACTGGATTAAAAGACAGACATAACCCTTTGAATTGGCCACTTACCTGCATCTTACCTATGTGTAGCTGTAGCTGGACGCCCTTTGTCCTTTGAAGGACGCAAGAGGCCAGACAATTTCACCATCATTATCATCACCATAAACGGTCAGAAACCAGTGCTTCGATGTCACCCTTAATAGATATAATGCTAGACTAAGTCCATCCCTCAATTGAGTTACAGTCGCGGTTAAATAGATATTTATCAGGCTCAGATGAAAAGATGAAGTCGGTCACTCTATTATCTAGCCACTGAGAGAGATCTGTGTGAGAGTCTGTTGCCGGCTTCATCGTGAGTATTTTATTTGACTGCATATAATGAACAAAAAACGATGTTGATACTTCCAATAATTGCTATGTTGAGAGCAGGTGGTTTCACACTGGCTGTGTGAGTTGTTGGGGCCGCCGGGATCAAACTCAGGTTACTTGCCTAGCAGATTTCAATTCAACAGTTGTGGCCTTTTAATCTATCTTTCCCTTGAAAATTGTGATTTCCCTCTAGTTATTTTACGTCTGATCTGACCCGTACGAAGACCTAGATAGTCTCATTGGATCGATCAAGCAAAAGCGAGAGTTCCCATATCATAATAAAGACATAGAGAAATCATGTTGTAGCCGATAACGCTTGGCAACATCCTTTCGCTTAATTAAGCTCTCATCGCGATCGGCACCTCTTGAAGTTACAGTCTGTGGTGCTTGGTTGGGAAGCTGGGAAGCCCTACCAGCATTGAATGTGTGCGAGATTCAGGTCCGGCGCCGCCTCTTCACGAGCTAGGTGTCCATGAATGGGCTCAAAGCCGATCTCACACAGTTTATTTATTCTTCCGACATCCGACGTTTCGTTTGATAATGTCCGTTTAACACTGAGCTTCATTGCCCATCAGAGAACCGTCTTGACTCGGTTTGGTCGGATTACGTTTTCGCATAACAACTGAGGCTAAATCGCCGACAAAAAATGGAGTTTGGTGAATTTCGGTGTGAAGTCATTACAAAACGCTACAATGAATTAAGTTAACAGTGCCAAGAGGGGAATTACCAGCAATATGATTGACATGTGCCGCTCAAGACCTCTAAATTGTTTTGATCGTTTATCCATTAATATGACCTGGAAGGTGTAGCCGCTAATGGGCTAATTTGATCACGGTCTGTAATTACGAGTTCCACAGATATATTTACGTTCTAGTTGACTAAGAGAGTGGTTGAAGAGGTCTTGGTGGCGATGAGACATGATGCCAACCTCATTGTCTTACGATGGGTCAAACCTTCCTAGATAAAATGAGATTCTGATACATTGTCTTCACGTCTTGGTAATCGTATCTCCAATGTTATACGGGATTATCAGATTGAAATTTGATCGATAACCCAAACCCCTTCAATGTGGCCAGGTAGGATAGGGCTGCAAGCAACATATGATTCTCATCATCGTCAGACCTCCAGCGAAATGGATGGTCCGATTTCTCAACGTTTTAGCTGTGTTACACCTGAATCGCTTAGGTTTAGCACTCCCCATAAATTTCCGTCTCTTTTGCTTGTATACAACGAGCTAATTGTTGATTTGTAGAGTTGAAAGGCAAGGAAAAGAACTAAGAGTCATTGCATGCAACAATTAAAAAATCATGGATTCGAGAATAGTTACTGAGGCAACGGGGCTCAGAGGTTGTCCAGTTACAAGATCGCACCAACCACCCTCTCTGGCCAGAGGTTGAAAAACATTGGACCCAGGAGTCATCAGTCAAACTCACGCGTTTATTCATCTATTTCAAGTAGTGTGCGTTTGGCTCGTAGTTATTACGGATGAACCCTTCTACCGGATTCATTTTATTCCCGTCATTTCACTAGCCCTGCGCCCTGCAAGGACAATTTGGATATGTATATTGATTAATGACACCATTGGAGCAACCCCTGATATCTCCACCCAAATCTACGGGAAAATTTAACTTCAGGTTTTGCTCACATCCTGGCCAGAGTGGGCCAAGCTGTACTGATACGCCTAGAGCCCAATGAAAATGGTCCAAGAACACCAAAAGAGGCGTAACTCTGCCTCGTGATCATGAAAGCTGATGACACAATCATATTTAGGTTTTTAGAAAGGCAGGAACGAGGCTACTTGCCTAGATCATGCCGTGACCGACTGAGACGTGGGATAGAGAAAACCATCAAAGGATTGACTACAGACGGGTCGACATACTTTTCAATTGTTCTATTGGAGGGCTGAGACTCTCCAAACGTTGGGCTCCAAGCGTACCCCCACGTCTTCATATTCTAGTATTCCTTACCCCATATGTGGTGTGGGGATCGTCTTTTTCCAAATATCGAGATTAATTTTGAAAAAGCTAGCGGCTTCCTCTAACCAGAGACATGGAGACGGTGTTCCTGCTTGACTGGCCCATGAACGCGCGCGCCATGGGGAATATGGCTTCAGATCTGGGCATCCGTGTGGCCTCACAGTGTGTGCGTGAACTCAGAACTCGGCCGATTTCTCTTTAGCTGTGGAGCAAATGACAGCTTGATTAAGTATCATCCCTGCCGGCGTATTCAATGATGAGAAACGTGGGGGTCAAACTTGGGGATGCTATGTATGCAAGTGAGTAGACGCACATCATAAGTCAATCGACAAGCTTCTCACCATTGATTTTCTGACGGCCCACAGTTAGAGTACCATGCACTCATTGCCTTGTCCTGGATTAGGCGATGGTTTCCCATTAGATGGATGGATATCTACCTGCACTGGAACGGATAGAGAGTTTACCCAACTGTGTCCTCAAGTCTCCAGAC